CCGCGACAGTCGCGTGGGGTTCCGGCCATGAGTTCAAGCAGCCGGTGAGATCGAGAGTCTTTGGGCTGCAACCTATAGTCTTTGGGCCGGTGGGGATTTCCGGTTTTCGGGATTGGCCCGAAACAGTGCGCCACCATTTCGGGCGGCAGGGTTTTGGAGGTTTTCTATTCGCTATGATTGCCAAAAAGCCAGGAACTATTTTTAAAATTCCAGGAACTATTTATAAAAACCCAGGAACTATTTATAAAAATCAAGGAACTATTTGTCAACCACCCCGGCGGACCCACCCCAAAAAGGGTTGCTGGCATCCCCAAATGTTTGCCCTCCTCCCAGATCGATTGCCCAGGACGGGAAAACGTCATCCCTTGAGCGGACATGCTTCGTCAAGCAGTGCCGGGACAAGTTTGGGCTGACTACTGGCCAAATGCTGTCCTACTCGCAGACCCAGCTCACGGAGGCTGAGCGGTACCTGATGAACCGACGGGAGATGGAGAGTTTGGACATCCAATATGCTTCGTTGATTGTTTCTCAGCTGTGTCCAACAAATGACATATATGACTATATGACTATATGACATGTCAAAACATGTACCACTGAGGTAAGGTATCCAAAATCATTCCATGTCCATAACATGTCAGACTTCCGATATCTATATTCAATAACAACTTAAAAATACAGAATTGAAACGACCTAGCAAAAGAAGTTTGAAAGGGCACAGGTTTATAAATAGATCGGAACCGTTCCGAACCGTTCTGAACTATTTATAACTCTTTGTAGTTTACGGGTTTTATATATAGTTCGGAACCGTTCCGAACCGTTCTGAACTATTTATACGTACAGGGTTTATAAATAGTTCGGAACCGTTCCGAACCGTTCTGAACTATATATACGTCACATTTTATATATAGTTCGGAACCGTTCCGAACCGTTCTGAACTATATATACGTCACATTTTATATATAGTTCGGAACCGTTCCGAACCGTTCTGAACTATATATACGAAAAAACCAATTTAGTTCCAATTAGTTTCAAATAGTTCCAAATAGTTCCGAGTTTATATATAGTTCGGAACCGTTCCGAACCGTTCTGAACTATATATAAAAACGGATGTATATATAGTTCGGAACCGTTCCAAACCGTTCTGAACTATTTATAAAAACGGATGTATATATAGTTCGGAACCGTTCCGAACCGTTCTGAACTATTTATAAAAACGGATGTATATATAGTTCGGAACCGTTCCGAACCGTTCTGAACTATTTATAAAAACGGATGTATATATAGTTCGGAACCGTTCCGAACCGTTCTGAACTATTTTTAAACAGAAGCGGTTATAAATAGTTCGGAACCGTTCCGAACCGTTCTGAACTATTTATAAACAGCAAGTATATGATATATGTTATATGGTCCATGGTTATATGATGGTTGGTTTATCTATGTTTATCTTAACGCATGTTTTTTTACACATTTCTGAGTTCTAACTCAGATCATCTTAAAGTGAACCCTTGGTGGTTTTAGACTGCCACTGCTGCGTCATTAAGTTCAAACCAAAGCCACGAAAAAAAAAAGCGAAGTTAGGCAGTTAGGATTCAGGATCGGTTTAAAGATATTGATCCTATACGGGGCGGTATGCTACAAGTATATTAGAGTGGTAGCAGTACCACAATGAAACAAGCAGAATCGAATCATATCGAAACTTATCATCACTTGCTTCGTACGAATACAGTCATACCGTATACCCCTTTTATGACTGACTGTATGGTTTCTTTCTTAAAGGCATGCGGCTGCATGCGGCACGTGTGTTGTACATATATACTATGTTGTTTACATGCGTGGCGACTTTTGTCGTGTATGACTGACTTGTAAGAGTCTTTAGACAACTGTGGTGTAGTGAGACAGTCTGAGAAACAAGGATTTCTTCGCTTCTGACCCAGCCATACACACAGCAGTCCAAAGAATAAGTCTGTAGACTTCCACGGCAGCAAGACTTGTTTTGAATCTGAGGCAAAGGGTATTTCACCCGTGGAAACCTGGTGCACTACTGACTTGGCAAGTCCGCACCTCAGTGCCTATGTGAAAACGCTTCTATGATTAGCAACACCTTTCCCGGGATTGAGGGATTTTCAGAAGCCACTACCAGGTGAAGAAATCAGTATTGTCTCTGAGGTTCTTCCATTCTATGATAGGAGAAATCCCTTGGCAAAATCCCAAGGATCCTCATACCGATTCCATATTACAATGTATATGATGTAAATGTATGAATAACTGAATAACCCTAAAGTTCCACCACCAAATCTTGAATCCAATGATTTTGTGTTTGAGCTTTACATCATGTTTACGGTATTGTTCCGTGGCAATTGGAAGTTTTGCGGGGGTTTCGCTCCCTGACTTTCAGGAAGCGTTGGCCGGAAGCATATTGGCATGAACGGGTGTTTCTCCGCTATCACGACCAACGTGAAGCTGTGGAGCTTTGGGCATCGAGCTTTCGTGACTGGAGAGGACGCAGCCAAAGACTACCTTTGTCATAGAATGGGCATAAGTAAAACAAAGGTGAACATGTTTGCTTGTCAAAACTTCTTTTAGATGACATTGTTTAACTGGTATGGGGTATGCAGGGCAAGATTAACATGTGTGTAACGATGCTTCGTGGGCGAACATCTATATGACTTGAAGGTAAGGGGCTTAGACTTTCAATGGCTATTTCAGAAGGCAATGCTATGCAACGAAATCCAAGTTTCGATGCAGTCATACAATGTGACCTGAACAACTCATCCTCTGTGTTATATGATCTGATGTCTCGATTCATACAGACAGTTTTAGTTTGTTCCATGGTATGTTTGACTTAGCTTGACATGATGAGCTCTTGCATTGTCATTAGTCAGCATGATGTGATTCTCATTGATTGGGTGTTCAAGTGTGTGCACAAAGCAATAATAGAAGTCATGATCCCCTCAATCTTACGCACAAGTGCGAGACTTTTACCTTGATGCCATCACTTGATGCCATGTCCATTGCACTTGTCAAAGTCCTTGTTTCCAGGTTCTGCACGTGACATGAGTTTGGTTCTGGTTAGAACATGTTCGGTATCCCGGTCCCTTGCCAATGCCGAAGGAGCTGCTGATCCACCAAGGGTTTGACATTACCAAGATCAACCTGGAGAGCACATGCTACACTGACATGAACCGCCTTGCTGGCCACTCGCCGCATTTACAACCAAGCAATACCAAGCACATTGTCCAACAAACACGCGCAATTTCCTCTTTCAGTTTATCAGTGCTTTGCTTCACACAAAGGAATGATAAAGAAAACTATTGAGCATCACCAGTCAAGGCGTCAGGTTTGCAAGAACGGAAACGCTGAGCCATTAACTGTCCTTGGTCTCTTGGTGTTTTTGTCTGTTGGATATTTTGTGGCTAACAGGACTAGGACAAGCTGAAAAAACACTAGTTTTTGAACGTGTTGTTCAGGGTTCCCGTTTTAAGCCTTGGGAATAGGGCTAGGCATTTCCACGGGGCCACAATTGTCTTTTTCTAACTACTTGACTATTCCCTCTAGACTCTAAACTCATTCTCCAATCAAATGCTTCTGACATACATTGATGAAAACATCGAATAAAGAAATGCAGGGTTTGCTTCCTGACCTCAGGTGACAGCTGGAGCGTGCCCGTGGCAGGGAGCATCTTTTTCATGGTGGTTGCTGCGATCTTGCCAGTTGGCTTTGGAGACCGGCCATTGCTTTCACTGCAGAATGTGGAGGAGCTGCTACCACCAGTGCCAGTGACTTTGGGCACTCCTACGTTGGTTCCGGGACTTGTGCAAAGGGTGGCCCGAAGGAGCCTTGAGTCGTACCAAAGTGGAAGTGATGAAGATGAGGCTAAGGGAGCGCCTTTGCGATTTGGCCACCAGGTTCGGCAACAAACGCAAGACACACTTGCTCCTTGGCATCCAGACTCAGAGGATTGGATTGTGGTCCCTTCTGGGGGGGCCAAACGCCGCTGGGCTCTGAAGTCTGACGACTGACTGCTCTGCTTTTGCCCGATCATAGTTTTGATTTTGAACCACTGCTGCCACTACTTGAGTTTTTTTTGAAACTCATCGCTTGGTGGCTTGGCATGCTGAAATGCTGCAAAGCTAGTAAGTTGGACGTTTCAATTCATTGTCCAGCTGACTGTTTTATGTTTGCTGCTTGCTGTCTTAGTGTTGCCACAGCCGGATTGGCCCTTAGGGAATGGGCTGGTCAAGGCTTGGTCTGAAAGCAATCGCTTACATGAATGCAAACGAGAGAAGATTTGGCTTAGAAGAGAAAATTGGGAAATTTACCCTTCTGATTCTCATGTGCATTCCTGTCGTGATACTTGACCCTAACTTTTCACTTGATTGGCTTGACGTGACGGTTTCGTAGAAACCTTGTGACTTTCCCCTGCCCTAGCTTGAATTTGCTGGGTTCCAACCACGCATTGCAGATGCCCTGCTTGTTTTGGGGGGTTGCTGCTGGCTTGAACTTGCGATTCTGTGGCCACTTGCCAATGGCTCTATCTTGTAAAGGGTGTTGCCTTTGAGACGCTTTGCCTTGCTTCGAGCTGACCTTGGCACCACCAACGTGGTCTTGTGAGAATGGCGGTGGTTGAGGGCGTGGCTCCCCAGCAGGAGGATCAGATTGACCCTACGCTGTTTCCCGATGGCCAGTGCATGGCATGCTCCCAGACCTTTGGAGAGAACGACCAGGCTTGAACATTCAATATCTTGAACTAGTACTAGTGATGCAACATCAAATTCAAACATCACCAACATCAAGGGTTCCAATATTCTTAATGAAATTCAACTTCACGTGATCAACGGTTTTCAGCAGATCCTAAAGATGCAACACGAAGAGCCTCACATGACCGGGAAAACATGTCTAAACTCAAGTTTGCGGGAATCAACCCTTGGCACACTGTTGGTCAAGTAAAATATGTTTTACTTAGGTGTCTAATCAACCCATCTTAACCCTTCCCTGCCCAGGACTCGCCAAGTGGGCACAGCCTACATGTGCAAAGCTGCAAGAATGACGGAAAGGCAGGGCTGTGCCTTAAATGTTACTACATTAAGAGAGGCAGCTTTGGAGGTCTCCGTCTTCAAGAGTTTGCCATTCTGTTGAAGGAAAACGGCTCGTTGAAAGACAAGTTTCTTGGTTGCTTTTCTCAGCAGTCTGTTCGAGAGAATTTGTAAAACCCACATGCAGACTTATCTTGATTGGAACGGGATACGCTTAGTTATAGGACATTTCCCAAGCTAGGGACAAGACCAAGGGAGATCTTTCACGTCATCATGTCAATCCACACAGGAAGGAGTGCTAATTGGGAAGTTGATACGGCAGTAAGTGGGAATTGATTCACTTGGTTTGGCAAGGACAGTTTGGGCCCACAACTTTACCAACTGAATCAAAGCTGCAGCCATCCTGAAACTAAGGTTCAGGAGCCTCCGTCGGAAACACGTTCACCAAACGTGTTTGAACCCCAAGAGCAGGCCCAGACATGAGGCCATTAATGTGGCTTTGTATACGACTCAGAAAGAGAGCAAATACGTGAACTTCTTCCAGGACTGCTTCGGGTTTGACTTCCCGATATTAGCCATGCATCATATATTGCTAAAGGTTCGAGAGTCGATAAGATATCCATGAAAACACAAAGTCAGTCCGTCAATGACTCAATGAGCACAATTTTAAATCCTGATCATGCTTCTGCTGCAACCACTAGAGGATTTCAACCACAATCTCCTAGTTACCGATCCAAGGGATGGGACGTGGCCATATCGCAAAAAAACAGCTAGCCCAAAGGCTAACAACTTCTCAGCGCAAGCACATGATTGTCAAAATTCTCTGGGCCATGATGACGTTGATGATGATGACGATGACATTGACGATGACGATGATGACGATGATGACGATGAGAAGAACGCGAACTGGCACTAGTGCATGATAACAAAGGAAAAATGAGTTGAACAATTATATTGATGATGGTGGTCGGTCGTGGCAAGCATGCGTCCTGGGGCTCAGTCACGTTCAATCCCAAAGCTTTTGGTTCCTCTGATTTTTCCCTCTGCGTTGTTGGGATGTCTCAAAACCAGGAGGGAGATTGGATGTCGATTCCAGCTTACTTCGAGAAGCATGCCCCAGATCACATCAAGGCCAAAAGGAAGACTTTGGCGGCCAAGAAGGCTTGGATCACCAAAGAGACTTCGCCGCATTAGGGTTGAATTTGGCAGGGAGGGCTCAAGGAACATGTTTTCTGTTCATTTTTTGACGCACGTAATACCACTTCAATTTTCAACTCTGGGTTCACAATGGTTCGCCATGGTCATTCTGTAAACAGGAGTTGGAAAAGTTGGCATCAGGATCCGTACCCTTGAGTCATTTAGTATCATCCTGGACATCCTCTTTATTTTCTATGTGCGATGGGCGATGATACGCAACATTGACATTGGTTTTCTTTCCGACAGCAACAACGACAATAAATGATCATTGTACGTTCAAGACCTGGTTTATCATTTGTAATCCTACTTGATCTCTGGCCTGTGTTGCGCCAAGGAGGTTGGCCTGGCTCTGCACCCGGACAGGGCTCCAGTTGTCAATTCATTTTTTTTTCGGGCATCCCTTGTTTAATTACATGTGTTTGGTCTTGGATCTAACTTGATTGTTTCAAAAGTCTTTGCCACTCGCAAGGTGATTTTAAATCTGATATACTTTATTACGACATGAAATAACATAATATATCATATCCGCTTAACCAAATATTTTAGATTGTTTATTGTCTAGTTGGATCATTTTTTCACTTGGTTTCACTAGTGTTTTTTGCCCCACTTGGCAGGATGAGACTGGTGCCGAAGGCGTCCTCATCTTGCCCAACGACGGGGTCAAGAAGGTCCACGTTGGAGGCAAGATCTCTGCCAGCAAGTCCCGGCAGTCCGAGCACGAGAGCGCTGGGCAAATGCGAGAGGCTTTCCAGCGTGAGGCTGACGTCACACAGGTTAGCGGCAATGACGAGGCTGGGACAATGGGACCACTCTTTACATATGAGAGAAATCAAACTCGACCACAGTAAACAGATCTAATGATCTAGTGAGTCTAGTGCGCATGCAGCATCAGGTCAAACCATGGCATGGTTTCTCAAATTCATGAGACTGACCAGGACAACTCTCTATACGCTGTTTGATGGTTTCACACTTTAGTAGCCCAAGGTTTTTGTGTAGCCAGATGGTTCCTGAGTATCCATGATTCATGACCAAGGAACGCATTGTTTGTCCACCTGTGCCGCAGCCTGTGCCAAGTAATTCAATTCATACGAAGATACAAATGGAGGACGCCGACGTCGGTCCAATGGTACCATACAGAATCGTACATGGGAATGCAATATAACATACATCCAAGGGTCCTTACACACAGTATCCAAGTTCTTACAGACCATGCGGACCATGCATTATAAATTATAAGTATAAGACTGCATTTACTTACATACAGACCCCACATTAGCATTCCGTTGAAGTCCCCCTGGTTCCCGGCAGGCGGCTCACCGGGAGATGTTGGCAAGGGCCGTGGACGCTCCCGTTGAAGAGGAGCAGGTTGTTCATCACCCTGATGAAGCCATGGATTCCGATGAAGACACTGGCATCGGGTTCAAGCCCGTGAAGGAGGAGCCGGAGCCGCCTTTGAAGCGTCACAAAAAGAAGGGTCCTCAAGATCCGCCTGTGCGCACTTCAGGCGGCAGCAATGCCAATCGTTCGGGCGCCTCTTCGCAGAAGCGAAAGGCTTCAGCGGATGTGGCTGGGGCGCTGCAGAGTGCCGAGGCATGCATGTCAGCACTGCAAGGCTTTTCTCCCTTGGCATTCTGGCAGGGGTCCTTGAAAGGCAAGGACATCGAAAAGCGTTTGCAGATTGCCTTTGATGTTCACAGCACTTTGGAGGAACAATTGCCCGACCCTGACGTCGAGACCGTGGCCAAGAAACTGACAGACATGGCTACCTACGTTTCTGACTGGACTGATGTTTTGGCTGCCTTGCGCAGCAGCGACAATTCGATCTTCAACATGCGGGGCATGGACGAGGATGACCTGAAGAAGTTTGCCCGCGTGCTCCCAGCTGACTGCATGCATTCCGTCCTGTATGATCTTGGCAAGAGACTGTGGGAGGACAGATTCAGAGAGCAAAGAAAGTGATGAACATTATTTGTTTAAAGAGAAAAGAGAAAATACATCACACAGTGGTCCAACTGATCATTTCCAACACAATTGTTCATGCTGTCGCTGTTACTGCTACTGCTACTGTCGTTGATGTCGTCATTGCCGTGGTCGTCGTCTTCGTCGTCTTCGTCGTCGCCGCCTGCGTCGTCGTGGTCAACGTGGTCGTCGTGGTGTTTGTGGTGGTGGTGGTTGTGGTGGTGTTTGTGTTTGTGGTGGTGGTTGTGGTTGTGGTTGTGGTTGTGGTTGTGGTTGTGGTTGTTGTGGGTGTTGTTGTTGCTGTTGCTGTTGCTGTTGCTGTTGTTGTTGTTGTTGTTGTTGTCGTTGTATTGGTTTTGCTTGTTGTTGTTGTTGTTGTTGTTGTTGTTGTTGTTGTTGTTGTTGTTGTGGTTGCTGTGGTTGTTGTGGTTGTTGTGGTTGTTGTGGTTGTTCTTCGGTGCTTGTTGTCGTTGTCGTTGCTGTTGTCGTTGTATTGGTTTTGCTTCTTGTTGTTGTTGTTGTTGCTGCTGCTGTTGTTGTTGTTGTTGCTGTTGTTGTTGTCGTTGTCGTTGTCGTCGTCGTTGTCGTTGTCGTCGTTGCCGCTGCAGGTGCTGCTGCAGGTGCTGGTGCTGGTGCTGGTGCTGGTGCTGGTGCAGGTGCAGGTGCAGGTGCAGGTGCTGGTGCTGGTGCTGGTGCTGGTGCTGGTGCTGGTGGGGGTGGTGGCGGTCGCGGCGGTCGCGGCGGTCGCGGTGGTCGCGGTGGTCGCGGTTGACGATTGACGGTTGACGATTGACGGTTGACGATTGACGGTTGACGGTTGACAGTGATGGTGCTGGCGCTGGTGCTGGTGATGGTGTTCACGTCTTAGGGAAAAATTGTTCTTGTTCTTCATTGATTTTCCTGGACCGGCCATTGATTCTGCTCACCACTCTCTGACAGTAAGCTTTCTGGTTGTAAGTTTTCGCCACGTTTGCACAGGATAATGCCAGTGGGAAGGACATGCATGCTTCCACCGAGTTCTTTGAGTTCATCCTTCTTCCTGCAGGCCAAGATTCTGAGGGAAGGAGCGGCCAAGGACTTCAGCTTCGCAAGCTCAAGGATTTGGAAGGCTCGAAGGTGGAGTTGAATGCGCTCTTGCAGGTGCAGTCGGCTCTTCTGGGGGCGTGGCTAGATTTCATTCAGAAATCTTCGGACTTAGACCGGTGCCTCCACAGCATTCCGGAGGAGCTGTGGAAGCCTCACTTTCTGAGGACAGATGCTTTTTCCAGACTCGTTTACAACACTTGAACTTGCACATTGTAGCAGGTAGTGCGCTGTATCATCGGCCAAGGGGAATTGCCCAAGTACACAAAACACACCTTGTGCATTATAGCCCAGAGCAACATAACATCCATCGCCTTCTGATAGGGACCAAATCTTAATATTGTAGTGTTATGTAACGGTATATATGACATTGCCTTTAAGTGTGAAAGATCATGGTTCAAATGACTCAATGACCCAAAGATGATGTGAGTGAAATCTGTGATGGTTGAAAAATGATTTGACGTGGTATGTGACATGTTCAAGAAATATTAATTAATGTGACAACGTGTTCTGGTTTATATGTATTTTTCGGTGGAAGCAATTTTTGACCAACAAGCGCGATTTAATTTACCCTACTTCAAGTTCGCACAGGAGATTCAAGCAGCCCGTGCAGGGGCTTTCTTTGGAGCTCCCTTCCAGTCAAGATGACGATCAAACCAACATGACAGGTCTTGCGGGGAAGTTCTTGGTCGATGTTCAAAGGTTTTTGGCCTGCCGCAAGGTGTTGGGGCAGGAGCACTTGGTGACCCCATCTTTGGGACCTGAGCTCAAGCAAGTCGTGGGCATGGTGAAGATCTTCAGTGCTCGGAGCAACCTCATGTTTCGCTCGAATGCCGCTTTGAGGACTGTTGGGATCAGAAGCCAGACATGTGACATGTACAGTATTTTATTGAGGGTTTCAATTGTCTCCCCGCTTGGGTCATACTTTAATTAGATAATGATAGCTTATAATAACTTATAATATAACCTATAGCCTGTAGCCCCAAAAAACAAACATCTGCTGATTAGAAGATGCGGCTAATTGGTATATGATATCTCATGATATCGAATCATATCCTGATCCTATTGAAATTGTCTGCTCAATACCTCGAACATTTGTCACCTGCTGTGCTGAATGCATTTGCAGTTTTGTGAGAAACTAGCGCTTGTGCAGGGTGAATGGCGGCAGATTCCAGCAAAAAGATCCTTCAGGAATGCAAGGTAGGTTTTGTCTGTAGGAGTTGGAGTGATGTTCCACACTGTCTTTTTTCAAAAGATTACATAACGTGCTTCTTAGGTTTCTGTTCTGTGCGCTGCGCGCTTTCACTTGTACTGTTTCGGCCTTTCCAGGACAGCTTGGACACAGGTCGTGGATGTTGGCAAGCAGCAGTTGGATGCTGAGAGCGCTTTGTCGGCAGGTGCCAAGCTCAAGGACTCGCTGGCTCGTTTGCAGTCATTCTTGGACGATGTCAAGGACAAGCCGGATGGCTTCACCATTGAGACGGCTCTTCCTGTGATTGAAAAGTGTGCCAACTATGCAGCAGTGCTCGTTGCCTTGGGCCAATCAGACAAGGAAGGGCACTGTGCTCTGAAGGCTGAGTTGGAGGATTGTGCTGGGAAGATCACAGGCTTCATGGTGAAACACGAATGGGGTGCAACTTTGGATTTCCAGGACATGCTGACGAACTTGTTTGCGTGGAACTCGGTTTGGAGCAAGCTGCAGAGCGAGGTGCTGTTGTCACTGAAATTGGCGGTTGTGGCAGGTGCTGGGTCGGAGTGCGGGGGCTGAAAGCACGTTTCAATAAATGAAAACATGGCCAAGCCAATCGTTGCAAAGTTCCATTATATTATTCTACTCGCTATTTAGGTATATGGTATACGGAAGACCTACACATTTACATGTAGTGCAGCGCAAAATCGAAATCCGTTCTCTTCATCTTTGGCCCGATGTAGTGTAAGTCACTAAAAAACTATATATGAGAATGTAAGATGGTGAATCCCATTGTACAGGAAATAATGTAAATGAAGCATATGTAAATCAGCCAGCCCTGTTTAAAGTTGGTGTTTTCACTTACTTTGTTGTGCCACATATGGGATGCTTGCGATTCTGACAGGTACCATTGCCAGCCATCTTGGCAATGTCAACGGCGAGCTGGAGACCAAAGCGAGGACACCTGTGCTGCTTTCCATCTACAAGTGGCTTGCGATCCCTGAGGAGGAGCAGGAGGACATCACCGTGGAGAACTGCTGTGCCTTCGCGGTCGAGATGACCAAGCATTTGTCTTCCAAAGCAATGGTGTCTTTGAATCCAGGCTGGCTAGAGGAGGCCAAAGAGGCAGCTGAGCGCTTTGAAGCTCGCTTGGTGGAATTTGCCAAGTCTTGGGCTGAGGGAACATGGGACGCACAGGGGCCTGAAGAGGTTGTGGTCATGTTTGAAAGTTGCAAGTACCTCCCCCAGCCTCTGCACCCGATCATGGTGCTGGCCAAAAACGCACACAGCGTGGAGAACTTGCAGCCCGTCGAGCTCAAGTTGGAAGATTTCGAATCTGAGATGCCGCAGCTTGTCAAGCCAGTGAAGCGATTCATGGCCCTTTCGGGTTTGGACAAGGAGATCATGTCCAAATTCTTGGGCGACAAAGTGGTGCAGGAGGTGAAACTCTTCGAAGCGTCAGTGCTTGCCGCTGTGGAGAAGGTCTTCAGCTGGTGCGCGGGCGTGTGGAAGACGGTGGGCAAGATTGTCGATAAGTATAGGTGGGGATGGGTCGGATTCAACAAAGGTTTTGGGGGCACAAGCAACCAACAAACAAACGACTCCCAGCTTTGAGACTCGCAAGACATACATTTTAGATACGGACATTATTTGACATTTATGTTATTCCATCTTTCCGTAAAGGTACAGATATTGACCCGCCTGAGACATTGACATACAACCGCCTGTAAAAAATAAACTTTTACGGATCCGTGGTGATGTGGTTTGTTTCACTGGTCAGGCCTTTGATTCCGGCAATTGACACGTGGGCCATGGACGATGTGGCTTGGATGTTCACTGGCGAAGCCTCCGTCGACAATGACATGCATCGCATGCTGGATTGGCGAAAAGAGAACCATATCATTGTGGAGTTCTTCCACATCATGCAGAGCGTCCAGGAGTGTGACGGCTGGAAAGCCAACCCTTTGCGTGGCAAGATCATGGACCTGAAGAAGGGTGTCGAGGACAGGCTTTTCGAAAGGGCTGGCTGGGTTTGTCCAAAGCAAGAGCTTTTTCATAGTTCTTTTCTGCCGTTGCATCCACCTGCATGGCATAGAGATATCATACATTATCATACATCATACAGAGTCATACACATACATGCAGCCAGCATCCATACAGAAGGCATTCACACACAAACACTCCAGATACAGTATAGTGTGTAGAGCCTGGTCTTACTGTACGATTCTTTTTGCACAATCCATCCCACATACATGCAGCAAACATGAATTGGCGATAATGACGATGCTGATGATGCTGCTGATGATGGTGATGATGATGATGATCTGATGGTGGTGATGATTCCGGGCTCTTCAAAAAAACAGCCAATTGCGAAGAAACTTGCGTGCCCCCTTCCGCCCAATTCAATGTTGTTACATCGCTTTGCTTGGAAAGGCCTTCAAAAAAACCAGCCATTTCGGTTCGGATGCCGGCATGCATTGGGTAACAACATTGATCAAGGGGGCGCGGGGGGGATCAGGTGTGATGTGACAACATGGTATGGAGGATTGCGGTATGCTGACGTGGCAACGAATCCATGGTATGGGTATTAGGATATCAATGGTATCATCAATCATTGATATTAAAACATAGTAAATATATAATACGATATATATAATATTATATTTATATATAATATTATATTTATATAATATATATATATTACATGATATATTATATATACATGGTATTTTATATAGATATATATATATATATGTTTATTTATATTTATATAGCTGAGATTCTCCGGGCTCGGGCTCCGAGCATTTTGCCGGATCTCCTTTCGGCCCTATTTTTTCCCCAGGGCCCGAAACCTATGGTAAATAAGAACCCCCCAGGGACAAGTACACTGGTAATCTTGTCATGGTAAAAAAAAATATCGGGCCCTGAACTGGCAGAATACTAATTCACAGTATACTTGCAGCAATGGTATGCGGTGGACAGCCAAATTTAAAAGCTACCCTGGATCCTCAGATTTTCACCTTTTCTGAAGAGGCGATGCGCGATCAGATTTCCATCATTTGCAGCTCTTTGCTTGTGGGCGAGCTGATTCTCCACCCAGAGAAGTATCCCCAAAAGCTCGCGGCTGTGAGGAAGGTTTGCAAAGTACTTGCCCAGGAGCTCGGGATGGCACGGGCCGATCTTTCACCCGTCTTGTCCAACAAGCTGGAGGAATTTCTGAAGACTGAGGAATCCAAAGAGTAGCTCGTCTCTTTATTTCCAGCTTTCAGGTGCCATCACCCAATTCAATTTTCGCTCCACTACCTTCTCCTGTATAATGAATGTTCAGGTGGTAGTAGTAATACTTAGGTTACTGCTGCGGCTATGGACTTGAGTCAAACAAATTCTTTTTCAACCATGGGTGGGCGGATACCAATGATTTCCACAAAACTAACCGTATTCACGTTCAGCACCAAAAGTAGCCCATCATTTTGGGGGGCCAGGCCGATAGCCTTGGATGATCCCCAAATTCATTTTTGTTTTCTTCTCACCAAAACGAACAGAAGGTCAAAATCCCAATCCTAGAAATCAAGGCCGTTCCCACTTGCCAGTTTATTATGGTTTGCTGCTGCTAGAGTCGGGCCACGCCTTCAAAACTTTTGCAAGTCTGCTTTAATGGGGAATCTCTCCCGTAGGCATTCAGAATATGTAATGTTACGTCGTATGTCACTATTTCACAATCTGATCGCTGATCATCGAATGCGCTTTGGTTTGAGGATACGCCTTCATAGGATTTCATATGCCAGGGAATACTGGCGCATCGGTTTTCCAACTATCAAATTCCAGGCCTTTCATGTCTTCCAAGGACACCGGCACCGAAGCCGGCTGCCAAGAAGGTGGCAAAGAAAGCGGCAGCCAAAACGAAGGCATAGATTTTGACATGGAAAGGCCAGTGACACATGATGGCCATAGGCTTAGGTTCTTTAGCCAACCCAAGCTTGATGCGATTGGCATCACTTACTTTTCTCTGCTAGGATTTTTGGGTTCTTGCAGAGGCAATCCCACTTAGAACTTGCAAAGCCCGGGTACATTTTTCGGGTCCAGATGTGCCATAAGGCTTTTGCAGACAGCAGGCCGGAGGGAACACGAGAAAAGAGTTGCGAAAGCCAGCGTGGTCACTAGCCTTTTTCTAACCCCAAGGGATAGATAACTATCCAGGCCTGGATATTGTGAAGCAATTTTTGGTGTGGTTTCCACACAAGCAGGTATGTCAAGGCAGTAGGGACATCATGTGTGCTGTCCACAGCATTGCGCACATGGAAATCTTCAAGGGTGAGTATACCATGGCTGGCTTAGTCATGAAGGTCGGATCTGGGTGAGATTGGTGACCTTGGCCTCTAAATAGTCCCATCCCTCATATTAAATATCACCTAAAATGGCTCACAATACGTGCAATTTTTAATTCAGATTCACCACTAACCATTGCTCTTGGTTGTGTTAACCTTAGAGTATGGGAATCATAGTCAATAATAAACCACCAAAAGTCGGGTTAGCTTAAAGCACTGGCCCAAAACCCATAAGCGAACTATGTGTGTGTGTTTTTAAATAGGTCCAGGAGTTTGGAAATAAATTAACCCCAGTGTATCAGTATAAAATGCAGTAAATAGCTCCTGGGATTTTATAAATAGCTTCTGGGATTTGTAAATAGTGCCTCGGATTTTATATATAGTTCCTGGGATTTTATATATAGTTCCTGGGATTTTATATATAGTTCCTGGGTAGCAATGTCCCCTAACACAGAAAGAGGCCAAGGCAATAAGTAATATATATTCAACGGATTTTCTATGTTTAATATATCGAATCTAAATGAATCTAATATATATGTTCATTGTTTGAACCTAGTTTCAGCCTTGCCCTTGTCAGTCATGATGAGGGTGTACAAGTACCTGCTGCACCTGCAGGCGCTTAATGTCAAGTCAAGTCACTGGAAAGCTGCAGACAATGCAGGTTTAATTTGTGTTTTATACGAAACTCAAATCATGCTTTGCTCCAAAGTTGTGCATCAGTCTTTCAAGAAGCTCGCCCCGGATGATGGACATTTTCTGAGCACCCATTGAAGAAAGATTCATTTAAACCTGGTTGATGATCTAGGGGATTGTGTCACCTACAAAAATGGTAACCACGATGATCAACAGAACCCAGGGTTCTGTTTAAGAAAATCCGAAGTTGATGAAATCTATCAACAAATTTAGGTTTCAAAGCAATATTCATATTGTGTATATATATATATGCATATTAGTATACATATATATATAATCTCTACGGGTTTGACAGCATAAAAAACATAATATCATCAATTTTCTTCGTTTTGTCCACAGGTTTTTCGCCCAAAAAATCCACCAGCAGCGCCCCGTGATTTGCAGCGCCTGATCTTGAACTTGGTCTGGGTTCCGTTCTTCTTGATCTTCACGGATCTGGCATCCTGGCCGCCAGCTGGCAGATTCGCGTTTTGGCCCCCGTGTTGGGTGATTCATTAAATAGGCCTTTTCTATCATGAATATATGGAGATGATATGGGAGAATGATATTTTTTCATGACATCTCAGGTTATGAACATGGAAAATATGGAAAATTACATATGTGTTATGAAGAAAAAGCATCAAAAAACTGTATGAAACCAACATACAAATGGAGTTGCAACGCACCACCGCACCATCACGTGTGCTCCAGTCGTTCACGATGATAAGAATGTGACTGGGCCAGTTTTTTTGATGACTTTCAGTTCTTGTTTTGAAAAAAATATGGATCTTGGGAAAATTGAGGATATCATCTTGTTGGTGGTTTCAACCATCTTGAAAAATATGAAAGTCAATGGGAAGGATTATCTCATATATTATGGAAAAAAAATGTTCCAAACCACCAACCAGTCATACCCTCTGGTAATTTAACATAGCTATGGAAAATCACCATTTTTAATGGGAAAATCCACTATACATGGTCATTTTCAATAGCTATTTTGACATAACCAGAGGGTATGACCACCACACTGCAGCAGCAGCATGGGACCGCTGGATTTTTTGCGCCTTGCGTCGGGCGATCTGCAAGAACTGGCGAATCTCCTCATGGCGAATCAGACGTTTTTCCACGGTGTTTTTTTGAGGGAAATGGTGTCATCTATAAACCATGACTGATATATCCATGTGCAAATGACATGATGTATTACAATCGTACAAAACCGAATACTTCTGTATATATATATATATAACATATATGTATATAACTATATTATATGTAATTATGTATATACGTTACACTATATTACACTGGTGTTTGATTACAATATTGATGACAGGTTTACCAACGCAGCTGATAGCTATAGAAACTGCATGATTTGGGCCCAAGGACTGCTTGATGTTTTAGGGCACCATGTAATTATTAATAACATGAAGCTAACAAATGGTTAGGGATTAGCATGGAGTAGCTAAGAAACAAACGGCCCAAAAAAACGATTAATTATTCCAATTCTGCTTGTTTCTGCCTACCTTTTCCCTTTTTTCCCTAAATTTGGAGTAAAATACCGAGGCAAAAAAAAAAAACTCATTCCACCCCTTTGAAAAGCGAGCTCCATTAATGGTTCAAAAGCATGCTTTAAGGCAGGAATAAAGAATGCCGACCCACCTAGGGCTATAAGTAAGGGATCTTATTCACCCGCGGCCCGTCATCAAATGATCTGCCGGTCTGCCTTTCACATTTTGGCCAAGCATCAGTGATCTGCTTGGGCATGATGTCAGCGATGACAGTCGAAGTTTTCGCGACAGTTTCTGTGGCTGGAACCGGCTGCGGTGTTCACTGTGTTGATCCCAGGTGGTCCACTGTACCAGTAGGATATGGGCGATAAACAGCTAAGTCTTAGTGAGATCAGTTGAGGTCTTACGGAGATGTGGTGAAAAACATGTGTTTACAGTACCAATACGGTAGCCATTTATTTTCAGTGCCGAGCATGCGTGGTTCCACCAATCCCATCAGAAATTCATGGCTAGAGATGCTAATGCTATGGACGATCTGAAAAATCAACTGCAGTAAATAAAGGACTAAATTCAGCATTTCTAAGTTAATGCTTTGGTATCCAATCGTTTCCATTATGCCGGGGGGGGTCTAAAAAGCCACATACCTGTTTGGATATTTCAATCATCGCCGGTTCCAAACACGAAAAAAAAAAACTCCGGTGGGTGGCCATTTTCATAGGGACAATGATGAAGAACCAATGGATGGAATAAGGTGCTCACCTAATTTTTTATACACATCCATGGGATTTGTATATCATTATTATTCATCAAGCACCAATGGGTTCTAGGAAATCTGCGGATATCTTGACAGATCCCAATCCCATCCCCGAATCCCCACAACTTCTCCATTGATCCTTTTGGATCCGCTGGCACGTCACAGTGTCTGCGTGGGACCTTCGCGGTATGAATTAGCGGTCGGAAGTTCAGCGATGCGCATGGTATCGCATGGTCATGGGATGATCAGTGAAGACGATCCGCTGGGCGACTCGGCGTGCCCTCGTGAATGTTCACCAGCCCCTAAAAAAGGTAAAATTCAATGGATTGGTTTAAGGGAAAATCTACAGGAAACCATGGTTTTTACCATCAAATATAGGGGTTTCCTGTAAAATTTCCCATGATCCAATTCTATGAAAAATAAGCTGGATCAAAATCGCAAACACCAAATCTAGAATCTAGGTGAGACATGGTGTTTGACCTTCTCTGGCGTCGGTGTCACTTCTGTCACCCTCTGGTTCGCAAACTGCAAATAAACAAACAAACATGAGAGTAAGCAATAATAGTTAATAATATACAATAGATTATAATAGCAATATTAATAATGTGGAATAATTGGACAATATTGGACATAACTTGGCTGCTGTGGAATTGATCCAGTACTTAGTCTGTGGGATCAAGCTCCCCTCACCAGTATTCGGAAAGAGAGTTTCTGGGACGGGAAGTTTCCAAATTTAAGGTTATTGACTGTGAAGTATAACTTTGGGATTCCCTCATTCTTTGTCAAACTTGGGCCCTCTCAACCCCTATATCTTCCCCCTCACTAGACCCACCTTGGAAGTACTTGGATGATGTGGAATGATTGAAATTTCCAGGATCCTGCCAGTTCTGTCAGTTTTCACTGCGCGTGGGGCGATGAACTTCAGACACATCAAACATCATCAAAGTGTCTAATTAAGCTGCACTCAGGGGAACCAGAAGCGGCCTGGCGATCCGGGCCGCTTTGTTCAATGGGTCAGGGTGAAATCTAGTGATACTAAGTGGTACTTGGAGATCATTGGCCTTTTGGGGAGACAGCCCCAGAATGTGAGGTCCATTCGTTGACGGACCGTGGTATCACTACGCAATCTGCGGACCTAGATAAACCCATGAATGCTACATAAACATATTCTAGTTACATATATAAAATGGACTGCATGCTTAGAAAAGTTAATTAAGTCTTAAACAGTACTATATTAAGCATATTATGATTCATTTGATGCGGGAAAAAGGCGCAAGTTTCTGCAGATTTCCCGTTCCAATGGCTCCTCAAGCTATGCTGGAGGCGACATCTCCGGCTCGTCCCAACCTCAGGTGGATCAGCTACATGTATGGATACCGCAAATATTAATGTACACATTGTAGGTATAGGATATATCAAATGTAAAAACATATGTGCACATACTATGTATTTATAAATGCATCCATATCATATGTCATATATATATATAACATTTATTTATGTATGTATGTATGTATGTATCTATCTATCTATCTATCTGTCTATGTATCTATGTATCTATGTATCTACTGTAATGTATCTTTGTATCTTTGTATCTATGTATGTATGGATGTATGGATGTATGGATGTATGGATGTATGGATGTATGGATGTATGGATGTATGCATGTATGCATGTATGCATGTATGCATGTATGCATGTATGCATGTATGCATGTATGTATGCATGCATATGCATGTATCTATCTATGTATCGATGTATCTATGTATCTATGTATCTATGTATCTATCTATGTATGGTATGGTATGGTATGGTATGGTGTGGTATGGTATGGTATGGTACGGTGGGGTGTGGTGTGGTGTCGTGTGGTGTGGTGTGTATGTTTTTTCTCTCTATTATTTAAAAAAATAATTTAAAAAAAACGCGTATGTGTAAATTTATATATAATATGTATATATATATATAATTCTATATGCAATTTTATACAAATACACAATACATATGTCATAGATCAGAACACTTGTCACCTGGAGTTGACAACGATGGGAAACAACTCTACACAGAGAGGTCCTTCCGACCCGGCTGGCCGGGATCTGTCATCTAATACCACCTGGTGTCAACGTGGCTGGCCGGGAAATCCCCTTTATGTAATGATGGGAAAAATAACCCAACAAATATGCCACTTATATCTACTTATAAAGGGATCGAACCCAGATTCGCTATATATATATAATGATATATATATATACATATACAGTATCATATACATAAATAACTATCAGCACCATCCACAAACATACGCCTGATCAAAAATTACCGATTTTGCGGTTATCTCGCCCCTTGTCCTGGGACGGACTTCCCTTCAGAAAATCATCTGCAAATGCTGGAGTAAGAACGGAAGAAACCGGAAAAATCTTGAAAAAACTCCTGAAAAATGGCAACCTCTTGGAGTTTTAATGGGATACAGATATTCCCAGCTGCCAGCTGTCACTTTTCCTCGGCCATTTGGCACAGCAGCGAAAGCTCGAAAAGATCGTGGTCTCAGAGCTGGTATGTTTTTTGTCAGTCGCCGGTGCGCGCTTTCGAATGCCGTAACCAGAGGCTGGGAAAGATAATTTCAATGGAGTGACTCAAGGGAAAGCCTACAGGAAACCATGGCATTTGGCTTTAAAGATAGGAGGGTTACCGTCTTCTAATCATCCAACTCTAGAACACCGCACCTCCAAATACGCTTGAAGCGACAACATGGCAACTTCATTGGTCATACCAACTCTGCAGCAACGACCAATTTTGCTGCTTCATTTCAGCATCAATGTTAGCAAGGCAGCTTGGGATGAGTGAGAACATACCAAAATCTTCTAGGTCGCCGCTGTTCCTTGACAGTTTGTTCCCAACACAAATGTTTCATGGCATCTTGAATTTTTGTTGCTGGTACTTAGCCCTACAATCTACTTGACCTCTTTATCTCTTTGGTGTTCAGATTTTCCCCTCAGATTTAGTCTAAAATGTCAAGGATGTCTTCAGAACCCTCCACGTAGATGTTGTTCGTCACTGTTCCTAATTCAAACCTGCATTTAGCGAGGCATCCATTTCCCCAGCTGAGGTGCCACAGATCGTCAAGGCAGATCTTTGCTGCCACCCTTCAACAGAGCAACGGAAAATCTATCAGATCTACGTCAAAAAAAACATTGGTAATACAAACAGCTCAAGTGGATTTCACATGATTTAACACAAATTATGCATTGAAGATGCAGGAACTGTTGATTTGTTCATTGCTATATAATAGAGAGAGAGAGAGAGTAGATTTGTTAAATATATAATTAACTTTAAAGGGCTACTGATGACTAGGCCGCATCTGCCAGTTCGGTCTCAATGGAATCATCCTTTTTGGCCCTGTCGAGCAACGGCGCCGCGCAACAGAACTTGTAGAGGACACAGGGCGAGAGCAGCAACACCGCCGCGGCCAGCCAGCGAATGGACCACGTCAACCAGGTTGAGACCTCTGAAACTGGGTAGTGTCTGGGCAGAAGGGGCTGCTACAATGGTGGTGCACCCAAAATTGAAGGAAACCATGGGGAAAATGCGAATTTCACCACGAACAAATTGGATTTAACGGGATTTATAGCTGATTTATGATAGCTAAGTTGGTGAACATAACTCAAAGAACATTGGGACTCATGGTAGAATATAGTTAATCGATTTATAGACCCACCGGACTAAAGGGTGGCGCCCTGAATGGACATGGGCTGCTTCATCCCAAGTTGTTCTTTTAGAGCCTCGAGTTCACCATGTGATACGTGTGGCATGCTTCATGCATATAAAAATCAATTATCCCATGAATAGTCCCATATCCCCAGTTATATCACCATCAAATCTATTCCATGAAATTCCATGAATATCAACTTCAATAATAGGGGTCAACCAACGAAAAATGAGCCATTTTCCATAGCAAACGGTTCAAATTACCAGGTTGGTACATGTGATCAATCGCCCTCCGCGGCGCCTCCGGGACTTGACCACAGGCCTCCTCGATGCTGCTGGCTCTGGGTGCAAAACTGTTCACAGCGGGCTGGATGCCGTGGCATTGCCTTGATTACCCTCTGGTAAACATACAAAAAGCTATTGAAAATGGCCATTTATAGTGGATTTACCCACTAAAAATTGTGATTTTCCATAGTTATGTTAGTTTACCAGAGGGTACCAGATATTACCAGGGTGGTCACCAGGGGTTGCCAGGGGAGATAGCTGGTGGCTGGTGAGAAAGCAACAACAATAACCGACATTCAGTATATAGTACAGTGGATGTTTGAAAACCCTATAAATAATAAGATAAACCACCTATCAACGGATGCGGGATTTCTTCCATACACAGTATGTATACAGTAATAGTAATATCCGATATGTATGTCTGTATTTGAGGTAAATCATGAAAAACAATGCGATGAAATGCACATCAATAGGGGTACGGGGTCAACCGGTCAAATGGTCAAACTTTAAACCCTAGAAATTGGTTTGTGGAGAACGCCCTTGTTTTAATCTACCTACATCGGTTGGCAAGAACTCTAGCTTCATGCCAAACGTCTACCTTAAACAGTGATGATAAGCCCAAAAATATCGGGCATCTGCAGGATTTTTCTCCAAGGCATCTGCTGGGGTGCCCAGTTTAGACCCATACCATCGCGTTTCATCCAATATCATGATCAACATCATTTCTTTGGGCGGACCAAAGCCAGTGGTGCTTTGGAAAAATGACCATCAATTGTCATAAATTTAAGGACCTTTGTGGTAGTTTGTTTCTCAAGAATGTTTGACTTTCCAGCCCTTCCCACTCATCTCAGAGTGTTTAAACTTTAAACCACCACCAACACAGGGAAGTCGGGACTTATGACAGCTCACAGTACTCCGCCCAGTTGCAACAAGTAATGCAGCTCCCCGGTTTCATAGGGAGACAATGAGATCCGTAGGTTCGCAGACTCCGACTTGGCCAACTCAGAAGGTTTGCGCCCGTCACAGCTCCAAATTTCCAGCTCCGGATCGTGGCCACGTTGCCAGACCACCTCGACCGAGGGATATGAATCAACATGTCCACGTTCCTTCAGAAATGCCTGGAACCAGGACGAGCCAATTGGCTCGTCGCCGGGCGCGAATGGAACTGGTTTATAGTGGTTTTTGGGTGTGTTCATCTATACCATACTGTAACCTAACCCGGCAATGAGGAAGTCCCATATTAGGAAAATATCGGAAAGTTTCTAGAAATGGTGGATGTTTTCTTTAAAAAAATACGAGGTTCACCCAGAGACTAAAATTTGATGTTTCATGCTGACCCCTACGCCCTTGGCGAGCGGCAACACATGCCCAACTTGAAGCGGGGCTTCTATTTCGACGTTCTTCAGGAAAGGGCTCAGCCCATGACCAAGAGGTGATGGTTGAACTATGTTAAATGATATATGTTAATGACTATGGTTATTAAATAACATGGTTAATGACTATGGTTATTAATGGTTAACCATGGTTAAATGACATTAACTCCTAGAATTTTTGTTAAATGACATATGTTGAGGCCGCTGTTAAATTACCCATCATCCCCTGCAGAAATTCCACCAGATTCACATCAGTTCTGAATACCCTATGGCTATGGTAATCTAAAGTGGCAGCCTGGCACCAATCCCAGAAAGAAATTTGTGGCACTGAAACATGAAGCAACTCCTGGAAACCCAGGTAATGTGTGCTGAAAAAAAATCTCAAGGAAATTATTCAGCCCTTCCACATAAGATTTCCGCGTGCTGACCCTGGCGTCCGCGAAGGAATAATTTACCATCTCTGCATATCTTCACGACCAGGTTTGAAATAAAAAAACACTACTCAGGTTGCATTGCCATCGAAAGACGTTTGTATTTCCATCAAAAGACGTTTAATAGGAGCAACCCCAAAAAATATCGATGGACAAGTAAATACCTAAGAATATCGTAAATTAGTGCATGTTTTTTCGCAATCGAAATTAGTCTTTGGATTAAGATTAAGTTCAACACATCCAATCAAAAACACCCATCAGAAACCATGGTTTAGCAGGGGATTCACGCACATCCATATTTGGGACCGTAGACTGGGGACTGGTGGACATTAGGGTGATGGGATTATCCATTCATATCTATCATATCATATCAATGCCCCACTATGGCTGATAATAGATGGTTGGTGGTTGACCTACCCCTCTGAAAAATATTAGTCAGTTGGGATGATTATTCCCAATATATGGAAAAATAATAAATGTTCCAAACCACCAACCAGATAGTTGATTACTACCTACCCCACTATAATTATGGTCAACTGTAGTTATATATTATCGAATTATCCCACTAAATAATTGATAAGAGTTTATTGCCATGGCTTCTTACCATGACAATAGTTCAATTCAATTACTGTCATTATGTATCACAATCCAAAATAGTTAAACTAGTTGGACTACTATATAATGATATAATATCACTAAATCCCACTAGAGTTGATAGTTGGTTACTTTACTATCTTAACTATATGTATTACATACATATAAAATTATATATATATGTGTGTGTGTAAACTTAGTGTAAACTATACCTAAAAAATATGGTTAAAATCATCTTCCAAGGCCCAAACAGCCTTGCCTTCACTTTCGGCAGCGAATTCAAGCGTCAGCCAGGGCAACTCACCACCCGCGCGCAGGGGCCCTGCCAGGGAGCTCCCGCAGTGCCGTTGGTGTCGGCGAAGGCGCGGAAGGAGAGCAGGGCCAAGGCCAAGGTGAACATGGGAGGAGCCAAGGATGGATGGAGATGTAGGTTATTTTATGGATTTGGTTGTAGTATATAGTATAATATATATATATAGTAACTATCAAGACAGAGAGAGAGAGAGATGCAACTTTGCAAATAGAATGAGAAAGGGAAACAAACGATGTATGTAGATATTATTAATTTATTTATTAATTTATCCATTTATTTATGTATATATTTACTTATTTATTTTTTATTGTATCATAATCATAATATATTATGTTACATGATGTTACATGATATACATATATATATATGTATACATACTTACATATGCAAACATCAAGCAATGTCCAGCAGCTGGATCCTGCACGGTGGCCCGGCTTGACTTTTTTTTGCACTGTGAGCCATCCACATCGTGTCCTGGAAGGGTCTGGTAAGTTACTGGACCGAATAATATGGCCAGTTTCTGATCCCAAAAGAGAAACATGGCCATAGAATGCCATAGACTCATAGAATCTCAGTCAGACCCCCCCAAATTGATTGAAACCCATGGCCAACACCGACTTGGACTTTAGACATATGGTCTTACCATGTCATAATGTTACAGTATGCATCTTGTCACAAGTCAACCTGATGGTTTGTTCATGTTCATTTGCAATTCATGAATATTAATGATTCAAAGGAAAATTGGACAAATAGAACCGCACATCTCATCAAGTTTCACAGTTTTGGGCATTCCCCAGGCATAGCTGTGGGGTTTTAGCCACCATTGCACTTCTGATGCGTGGCTTTCACATCCCAACGCATGTATAATAAAAAAATCACCCAAAACACCTGTCGTCACCTGGATCTGCACCAGAGCAACAAACACACCCTCAAAAGTTACAGTTGGGTATAAAATTATCACAAATTATCTTGAAAGAAAGCAAATTGATGAAAACATGAAACATGGTTCAAAAAAACGTGGATAATTACGATACGAATACATGTTCACGCGTTTTAGCTGGGTATCATCTTGAATGGTGTGTCTAAAAACTGTTCTCCACGTTTTATCAATGGTCTTTTGCAATTTCTACTGTCAAACATGGATAAAACATCACCAGACACATCACGACGAGAAGCTTCTCTCTTGGCCCATCCTGCAGGGGTCAAATTTTGGGATTTTCCTCTTTTTTGTGTCACCTTAACATACCTTGACCAATCCAATGAATCGACCTAATGACCTACCAACTTACCATTTGCCCTCCATAAAAAAGCGGGGTGTTGTGTTGAAGTTTAGTTTTCAAAATATCAGTGGCATTGGCTACGTTGCATGGGGCTGAAAACAAGGAACGTCAAACTCCAGCTGTTGGAAACCTCATATTGGCAATAAATCTGGCCCAATTTATGGGTTTCATCATAATGCCTATGTTGACAATCTTCATCCCATCGGATCTAAAAAAGGTTCATCCCAGCCTCTCCAAGCCCCCCTCCCCACAAACCCCGCCCTTGTGGTGGGGTATGTGGTGGTGAAGGGGTGCACAAGTGTATGTATGTATGTAGGTCTGTCTGTCTGTATGTATGGATGCATGCATGCATGCATGTAGGCAGATATGTACGAAGCTGTGCATGCATGTAGGTAGGTATTGGTGTATGTATCTACGTAGGTATCTATGTATGTACGAATGCATGTGTACATGTATGTATGAAGGTAGGTATGTAAGTAGGTAGGTTGGTAAGAATGGATGTAGGTAGGTATGTATGTCTATATGTAGGTATGTATGTATGCAGGTAGGCAGGTATGTATGTAGTAGGTATGGATATATGTGTCTTTGTATGTATGTGGGTAGGGGGGTGGCCGGGGGGCTGGATCATATATATATATACAATATATGTGTGTGTGTTTGTTTCTTGTACATTAAGAATATTAAGTATGATAGGTTATTAACCACTTAGCAGCTGGCATACCTAAGGCATCCCCCATTAACCGATTCGGATTCCTCGTTTCCAAAAAAAAGGTTGATGAAACGCCAATGTTTGATGGTTCCATATCTCCATTTTTCATGGCTAAAATTCCGATTGAGGGAACCCCCCTTGTAATATATTCTAATACCCAATTATGTAATGACTAGAATGGCTAGAATCCTGATTTTTGCTGGTTCAAAATCCCAAAAATTGTCACTTTGCATCTGATGTCTTAAATGATACAACCCAAATGTCGGATCATGAATTCCACCTTTTTGTTGATTCACTCTTATTGGTTTGATCAAAAATCATCACACAGTATCCTGGTGGATAACATGATGAAATCCCCGTGAATTCGTTGCTGAAATCCCCATCCCTATCCCTCCATATGTGCCATGGTCAAGTTACGCCCAGGGGCTGCTCTGTGGCATGGTCATCTATCCCATGCCATGGGAGTTCAAACAGAATTTGCATCGTTTTGATATCATTTTCAGGGGTATACATCATTTTCAGACAAACCCAAATCATCTTATATCCCATACCCATCCATATCCCATTATTATTGTTATAGTTGACAACTCTTAAGTATATCAATATCCCATAATATGGTTATACTCTAAGTCATAGCTGGATCATGCTGGATCATATGCAAAAAAAACATAGGTTTTGACCCATCCCCATCTTTGACTTTCAGGGGTTTATAATAGGTTTTGACCCATCCCCATCTTTGACTTTCAGGGGTTTATATCGCATATATGTTCATATATCATTTTATCCCATAACCCATTCTTATTGTTATAGTTAATCAACATTATAATCATAAGATGCATTTTTATTGTTACCCCCACATTATCCCATTATCATCCATTATCCCATTAATCAACTGTTATTATTGTTGTTGATTAATGTTGATTAATGTTGATTATCCCATTATTCAACTGTTAAGCCCCCTCAAATCATATAGCCTTGTGGCCCCGCCTCTGCTTGTAGCTGCGGATCTCATTTCGCGTGAGGCGATCGCGCTTCCAATCGCCGCTAGAGCCGCGGCGCCGCGCCGGGCGCTTGCGACCCACCTGGCAACGAACGAAACGGCGCAAACGGGGCATTTCACCACTGAAACCTGCGATTTCATCTCGAAACCTTGGGAATTAAGATGAGTTACTGTAAGTGATGAAAATGGCTAGGGAGGTGTATAAATTGTATTTTGGCGCTGATCGCGCTCCTCAATGGATTGATTTACTCATTTTCACAGGGTTTTGCTTCGACATGTCGAAAACACGCCGCCTGCTGGTACAAGGACTCAGGAAAAACATCATCCATGACCTTAGACGCTGCGGTTGCTGAGATAACTTGGATCACTGTTGGAATCGCTGGACCCCTATAGTCCAACCACTAACCACCATAGATCTCAGCCCGGTGACGCATCTGGGCACACGTCCAAAGATGGAATCTGGATCAATGCCCTGCTGCTGCTGAACGCCTGAGAAATAGTCCTCCTTGGTTCGGTTCACTGCCACTGAGTGTCAGTGGGGACATTGGGATTTGGAATTAGCTGACTGGGTGCCTAGAACGGACGAACTTTCCAGAATTTTGCATAAAACCAACACGGAACGGCCTTCTATTCACTGGCACCCTCCATCACCCTCCTGTAAACAACTGTAAACTAACCTTCATAGATAATTTTCCGAACGGGAAACCCTACGTTTTCCACATCTTTTTGTACATTTACCCCAGAGGCAAACAAAAAAACATGGTTTCCTGCAACTTGTTGCCTCCAACCAACTCAATGAGACTGCGGATGAGTGGCACACCACTTGGGCACTGCTTTTTTCTGTCTCATCTTGTCCCTTTCTGCCGCATCTTCACCTGTGCTGGGCTGAAAAATTATATGATACGTTGCTGCCTTGGAAACATCGGCGTCAACTACTGTGCATTAAATCATGTACATAATATATATAAATATATATATATATAAATATATATATATACACATACAATTACATGGATACATATCAGTGTGTGTGTGTGGGTGTGTATGTGATACTACACATACATCACGCTTCTCCGTGCCCTCCAATGCATATCCCACCGCTGGCTCCTTCAGAGTCACCACCATACTCGGAGATGGCGTAGTTGTCCTACGGCCAGTGATCAGGTTAGATAGCCCGAAAAGAGTGACCCAAAAAGCTGCAAGAGTTTTCCAGGTGTCAACTGTTATTTTTGGGAAATTAACAAAAACACGTCCAGTTATCCAGTTATATTCTAGAAACCTGTCAATAACATGTTCTGTACAGTTTCAGATATTTTCATGTATTTTACAGGTTTCCAGCTTGTCATAATTGTTTTGATTCTATTCGGAGGCTGCTACATCTTCTAATCAAACGTGGCAACGGGATATTTCCTGCACTTCAAAAAAATAGTGGCAACGGGATACACCATACATCATGAAGATGTTCATCGTGACAAATATGGGATACACTTTTTATTACAATCTGGCCTATGATTCTTTTTGTAGCAACAGGATTCAATGTTTTTTAATACGCTAAATGATACACTGACACACCTCTGGAAAAATGTTGATTTGATGATCCACCTCAAACATGAGGATGTTCATGATTCACACACATAGTATGCATATCAACAAATATAGAATTTCAATGAATTTCATATATTTATATATATATAATTCCAATAATTCAGCAAGCAAAACATGTGTGGACATTTGGGGATGCTCCCTTGCACCAACCATGACGTATGTCGTGACGTCGCAATGAGGTTGCTATGATTTCATACGGTCTTCTCTACCCAAATACATCAACATCAAGATTTCTGTGGATTTTACATTGGACTGATTGTTTGCTGGAGTGCACTCACCGTGGCTGAGCCGCATTGAACTGGCCGCTTCCATTTTCCCATGCTTTTGACTCAAATCGCTTGATTGACTTCAGCAAAAAATGCGACCAATTCTCGGATGGAAACTGATAAACTGACCATTGGACCATTCACCCTCGACACAACAGATCCATATCCGCCAAACCACATGCTATCTCCATTCCTGAAACTAGCATGGACCTCACAAATATCCCCAAACATTCTGAAACATCAACCACGAACCTCACACATGACCATAGTCTCTCTATATATATATATATAACTATATATATAACTATATATATAACTATATATATATATATATGTACTTTAGCCCCATAGGATTTAGAAGTCACAAATGTCCACCCGAACCAGGCCGGTGGACCCGGTGGACCCGGTGGACCCGGTGGACCGCTCCCCCACTCCTCTGGTTTCCTAGGACGATGCTGGATCAAGGAGTTGTGCCTTCTTGGGTTTTGTTGTTTAGGTCTAGATTTGTCATGGAGTAGATTCACGCCGAACCGCACCAAAACCGTGTTCGAAACCATAGGAATTTAAAAGTGTTTTTTACCTCCAAGCATGTTCAAACTCATGTGGAACCTATTCTGGGGATGGTGTCATATGTCAAGAGAGGACGAGCCAATTTGTGAACAAAATTGGTGCGGCATCCCCAGTAACATCTGTGCCCATTGCATCCCCACTATTGGTTAGTTCTGTATCCCCATTGTGTTTAGTTCATGGTATTTCTAGGTCCCAAATATGGTTGGTTGTTGTACTATTATATAGTAGTTGTGTATTGTTTTTGTATATTGCATCCCTTCTATCTTCTCCATGAGCGTGGGAAAACCAATAATTTTTTTTTCGGGATGGTTTATCGCACACAATTTATGTTGATCTTGGGGCTGGTGATTGGGTTGACCACATTGACCACTGGTCGCGACTCTGTTGCGTGTATTCCCGGCCGAGGATCTTGGGCGGCAACGTCATGGCACGGATCTCCAGTGCAGGATCTTTGTACATCGGCTGCGGCGTCGCTCGCTTCAGCTCCACTACGGGAGTGGCCTTGCATGGCTCAGCGGCAGACCCATTGATACGAGCTGGCGCCATAGGATGGGTTTGCCCAGCAAAAATGTGGACTTCACCAGCAAAAATAGGGGAAACCAACAAAAATGATCAAACATGAAGGGATTTCAGAAATAAATTGGAGGTTTAAGCAACCACTTTGGGGATAAATTGGCATAAGGTGGTGCCCTAGTTCTTTCGCCAAAATCGGGATTTGACCAACCAAAATCGGGATTGATACTTCATTTATGTTGGCTAAGTTGGCAAACCATAACTGCAGTAACTGTTGGATTAATGCTGGATAAATCAAATTATTGGTGCTGGGGGGAACTGAACAATCAACCCACTCAACCCAGGTTGACCTACAGGAAGATCTAGTACGATCTGGATCTGCTTGATTTGCATGATTAGATAGCGAATTAAGTGGCTAGAACGCATGTCAGAAATGGGATCGTGAGAGGCCCAAAACTGGGCACTCAGCCCAGTTTTTGAGTGAATCTATCTATATACAGTAATGATTGTATACCCTCCGGTTTTTTACATATATATATATATATATATTGACATAGCTATGGAAAATCGATGAACGTAACCATTCTCATAGGTCAATCATACACAAATGAACCACTTGAAACTAAATCACCGGAGGGATGTACGTCAGTCTGAGTCCAAGTATCTTCCTGCAGCTTCAAAGTCTTGTCGATGAAAGTCGATGAAGACCAGACTTACGTATCCACCAAGTACGACGTCGTCGTTTTTTGATTTTCCCATTCACAACGACCGTTCTGAACCCCCAATAAAACCCCATAAATTCCCAATAAACCTTCCACACCCCCAAAAAAACACCCAGTGATTTAAAAATAATATGTCATGCTTGCCCCATTTCACCCATTGATTTGGAACTTCGATGTCGACTCTTCACATTCTTCGCCTCCAGCACTTTCAATCGGGGCTTCAAGGCTTCGCCTCGGGGCACCAGGCGGACCGTAGCAGTTTGCTATGGAAAGTGGCTGATTTTTTGATTCTTGATCGAGCAAAAACATGGTGATTTCCATAGCTAATGCTATATGTGGTGAAATTACTGGAGGGTTGTTTTCAATGTGTTAGAGTAGCCCCCAAATACCCAGGGGACACATCGTCTATGGCATCCTGGAAATACTGTTCGGTCACTTTTGGGGGATTCCTATAAGTTCAACATAAGTTGAATGGACTTCAGTCATCTCAAATGTTTTTTGTCGGAGATCGCGGTTGATGTTTTGATGTGCAAATGGCGAGCCATGGCTCATTCTTGGAGCCCCGGATGACGACAGGAATCTCGGGGTGGAAGGTGTTGAGTTTCCAGCCCCTGAAGTACTGAAACCTATGGTGACGACTGAGGATCCATGGCTTAAGAATCCCCCACTAGCTGTATCAACGATCTGCGCATGGCTTCATGGTTCAGCCACAGTAGGAAGATCAGTCAGAAGATGAAATATGTTGAGGACATTGGGGGATAATATTGTTTCTGATGTTAGATTTTAGCAATGACATAAACCATCCCGAAATCTACCATAAATGGGTTGTATAAACCCAAACAAATATGGGTGGTTTATTATTGCTTTCCCACATTATGCAGGATGATTCCCGTTTTTTTATATTTTTTGCAATTAATTACAGTACCTGAGAAGATCCGATGGATTACGCAAGAATCGGGGCCTCAAATTTCGACTGCCCCAGATGGTACCGAACTCATTGAGTGAGAAACCAGTCCAATGCCCATGGGATTTACAATGATTTACATATGGCATCATATGGTTGCTAAATTCCTTAGCTGGATTGCCATGGTCATATTAGCATGTCATATTCACACATATGATATGTGTATTGATATTAGCTTGGAAACACCATGCATTCCATGTATCCATCGACCTGCCTGTCAGTCCTGTCACTGTTTATCCATCTGTCTATACTATCTATACTAGTAGGACAGCCATGGCAAATGCTTCCAAGATCTTCCAAGCATGCGCTGGATGTATGTCAAGGGCACCAGCGTTTTGAGGTTCCAAATTAATCAAATTATATCCTCTGGTAATTTGTTACATGTATTGCATGTTGCTACATAATGGGAAATCTTTTTTTTTCCCACAGATTTTCCATCATCTATGAAGGGCACATGTTCCATAGGAAACTGTCAAATTTCCAGAGAGTTCTGCAACTACACCATCCTAAGGAAAAACTGCAGTCCATCAAGATTTTTTTGGATACGGCCTGGCGGCCCAGTGACGTTTCTGGGGCAAATTGGAGATGCCATGTCTATCCAAAGCTTCTCTGCTATCCGCATTCTCCTTGTCTGCTCCTTGAGAAGGTCAAATTCAAATGGAACATCATGGAACCGTGGTGGTTTGGACATGATTTCCTTATTGGAAAGACCTGCCCCTATGTTGGATTCCGCGTTTTATACCCGCAGATTGTGTGACCATGAAAGCAGCATGGCGCCATGGAAATCGGGTGGTCTGAATGAACCCAGCTAGATTATCTTCACATCTTGGGGCCCTGCATTCAAATTCAAAGAGAAACACCATCCGAACCAAAATTGTCATCAGCAGTGAAATCGCAGCGTTCACCATCACCATCATTATCATCCTCACTGTCCTCATCGTCTTCATCGTCCTCATCGTCATCGTCCTCATCGTCATCGTGGTCATCGTCCTCATCGTCCTTATCGTCTCATCGTCCTCATCGTCCTCATCGTCGTCATCGTCCTCATCATCCTCATCGTCATCGTCCTCATCGTCCTCATCGTCATCGTCGTCATCGTCCTCATCGTCGTCATCGTCATCGTCCTCATCGTCGTCATCGTCCTCATCGTCCTCATCGTCGTCATCGTCCTCATCGTCCTCGTCGTCATCGTCGTCATCGTCCTCATCGTCCTCATCGTCATGATTACGGCCTTCTATTTGATATGCCATGGGTTAAGAAATTGGTCAGCCCGGGCATACAGAAGGAAAACATTACCAAACTTTCAGCTAGTCCTCTTGACCACCAAAGCGCTCCTCTGTTCTCAAATTCTATCTGGTAGTTTTGGGTGTTCTTCATCAGCACATTCATATGGGTGTGTCTGAAAAGGGGGCTTTAGTATACGCAAGAATTGCCGATTACTTGAGAAAATGTTGATAAACCATGATAAACCATTGGATGATTGGGCACCCCATTGCAAACAAACCCGAAAGTGTTGAAACTCAAAGCTTTGAGACATCACACAACGCCAAGCCTCTAGGAATAGGAGCGCCCTGGGCCACCGTCACGGTTTCAACAAGGTGGTTAGGGGAGTTTTCCACAACAGATAAGGCAATCCCTGCTACAGACAATTCTTGTTTTGGGTTAGACTGTTTGGTCATTAATTAAGAGTTAAAGTCAAACATGGTCCAAAGATGGTATATGGTCTATGGTCATTCATGCCATGGGAATCCAAACATGATGGCAAAGGCCGGTTCTAAACGGCTTCAAAATAACAGGCTAACAGGGTTGTCTCCAGCCAGGCAGGCCTGCTAGCTTTGGGGTGGAAATCCCGCACACTACCCTCAGTGTGTGTGCTTTCAAGTGTGTTGAAATCCTCCCAAAAAAAATCTTACGAAAGTGGAATCACGGCATAGATTCAGAAAGCCATTGGCCATCACTGTGTTTTTCATTTTTTCCCGCGTGAGGGTGCTTCCTAAAATCGAGGTACCCCAAGCCATTGTTTCCCCAATTTTTCTATGCGCAATCTGCGGCACTCCCAATATATAAACCATCCCCAATTTCATCAGAAATGGCTGGTGAAAACCTCTCAAAATGGTGGATTTCCCATTGGTAACATCACTTTCAGCAGCTGACAAGGCACGTGGTGATGTCCACCTGCAGGTTTTTGTAGGTGGGGAACTTCACAACACTGGGGCGAATCTGAAGATATCTGAAGTGTATCCATGTATATGCGATATATATATATATATAGTTGCCATAGTTACCATCCCCATTTAAGAGGTTTATGAAAATGGGAGATGTGGGCAACCCAATGCCATAAACAATTGCCATTTGGGGATGGTCGAATCATGTTAAATCCCACCCATAATGATGACGACTTGGGGATGGTGAATATGGCATTGGGTTTAATTACCAGGGGATGGGTCAAAACCTTCATATTACTACCATATATGACCATAGTTGGAGGAATAACCATCCATTCACCAGCTATGACTTAGGGTACCATCCGGGTACCAGGCTTTTGAACCACCACATTCTACCCCTACGACTGGCCCTGCCTGGCGGCTTCCGTGGCGGCGCCGCCAACTTGGCTCTTGGCCGTGGGATCTCTGTGGGTTTGCTGCGTGGCTTCAGCGCAAGGTCGGAGGTACTGCGAAAGAGCTCCTGGGGCGCACATCGTCAGTGATGATCTTATGATGAGTTTAATGTTTTATGATGATTTAGCGAGGATCTTATGATTTGTCAACTATGATTCAAGTGCTTTATGATATGTGTTGTGATTTTATCATGGTTTTTGTTTATGACGATTTTAGGATGATTTTATGATGATTTGTCGATTCATGATGATGTTATGATGATTTATTGGTTAATGATGATTTTATGATGATTTTATCATTATTATATGATGATTGATTGAGTCAAATGATCTTAAGATGATTTTATGAATATTTTAATGGGTGATAATGAGTGCATAATGATTTTATGATGATTGAATTGGATTTTAATGCTGAAATTATGGGATCTTAAGAGCACTTAATGGAGATTTCACCAACAAGAATGAGGCATACATATACCGTGCAGTAATTTTACATAGTTATTGCATCAATGGTCCGTCCATAGCTGATTTGATCTACAGTAATAAAATGATGATTCAACATAGCTATTGTATGTATTTGATATTGATCGAATCTGTTAATATGTATACATATGTATCTATATATACATATACATATATATATATATACATTTAAATATATATATATACAGTATACATCTTATTTATATATATATATACACATACTTACACATATATATATATATATCTATATATCCCCGTCTACTATTTGGAAAATGTCACTATCCCGATATCTCGTAGTATATTATGGCTCTATACGGTCAAACTATATATCATAATACGTGGCAAGTAATCATTTCTCCGAATATTGCTGCAGCCAAGCATATTGCACTACACTGTACAATGACACGCTCACTATTAAAGTGAACACTGGTCCGGTCATTGTAATATGTGTGTGTGCGGGCATATTAGCTCTTACTATGTGTATATATATATGTATGTATGTATGTATGTGTGTGTGCCTGTCTGTATGCATGCATGCATGCCTGCCTGCCTGCCTGGCTGGCTGTCTGTCTGTCTGTCTGTGTGTTTTAGCACTCAAACAAACAACATCAAACAACTATTAATTATAAGAGGTTATTATACAATATCCGAAGGACGTTTAGAAGTCAAACTTCCGACAGTATGGACAGATGAAAAGCAGAGATGGGAAGAGTCAGCGAAGAGAAGGGAAGAAGAAGATCAAAAAAGAGAAAGTCTCAGAAGAAAGAGGATCCAGGTGCGCGAAAAAGTAGGAAAGTCGCGAAAGACTGCGTTTTTCCAATGATTTGTGGCTCCGGAGGGTCGAAAAGTAGGCTCGCTAAAGCGGCAGGCGCGGAGCCCGCTGAATTGCACGCCATTGTGGCGCGAAGCACATTGCCAAGTCAAAATGCACAAAACACACCAGGTCCGGACAATTTTTGGAAGCTGAGATGTCGAAAAAGTGCACGCCGTTGCGGCGCGAAGCACATTTGGAAGTCAAAATGTACAAAGCACACCAGCTCCGGACCACTTTTGGAAGTTGAGACATTGAAAAAGTGCACGCAGATGCGGCGCGAAGCACATGTCGAAGTCAAAAGTGGAAAAAACTGAGGGGTTCGGAGCACTTCTGGACGTTCAGATGTCGTTTCGCCTGGCAGGCGCAAGGGATTGTGGACCTTGTCAAAAGTGAGCAAAACGTGAGGGTTTTGTAGCATTTCCAAAAACAATGGCAGGCGTGGGACATTTGAAGAGGACCTGCAAAAATGCATTTTCCATGGCAGGCGCAATACAAGAGACATGTTCATCAGAGCTGTTAGGAGGTCCGGGCGCTGATTTCCTGAGAGGGTTTGCATTTTGGAGCAACAGATCTTCAGTTTTGCTGAGATGATTTTGCGTGACAGGTGCAGCACTTCGTATGACCTGGCATCACTTTTTTGTGGCAGACGCAATAGTTTAAAGACATGGACTGGAAAAATCGCACAACGCATTGGTACGAGGCCGTCAGCTCTGCACTCAACTTTCCATTTTTGAAGGAAGTCTTGCAGAATTGCTTCGTTTTTGACGTTGCCAAGTTCAAAAATTGAGGACGTCTCGCAGAATCGCTGCGCTTCTGATGTTGTCAAGTTCAAAAATTGAGGAAGTCTAGCAGACCACAACTACAATTACAACTACACTACATTACATTACACTACGCTATACAACATTAATAATTACATTACACTACACTACGCTACGCTACACTACATTACACTAACTACAACTACAGCTACAACTACACTATTTTATTTCCACTACACTACGCCAGACTACACTACACTAGGCTACACTAGAGCACACAACACTACGGCACACTACATTACACTACATTACACTACATTACATTCCGCTACACTCATTACACTACACTCATTACACCACACCACAACTACAACTGCAACTACACTACGCTAATTACACTACACTACAACTACAACTCCACTACAACTACAACTACAGCTGCACTAGATAAAGATATGTTTGCATACACTGTACATCACTGTACGCCCAATTTTTGAGATGCTCTCAACATCCCGTGGGTCGGATCGGGTATATCCTGAGACCCTAAAGAACCGAACCCCAAACGTGGCAGGAGCCCTGCAAGAAAACCCTAAAGATGCTAAAGAAACCCTAAGAAAAGCCTATAGAAACCCTAAGAAAAACCCAAAAAGAAACACATTATTCACTTCTTCCTCAGTTCAGTGCTCAGCTTTGACCACAGCACTACGGACCAGCCAAACGCCTCCCTCTCTCCTTGGGTTTCACATCCGGCCGGGCCCATGGTTGCTGCACTGGAGTGAAGAGAGAGCTCCCATCAACCTGGTTGGACGGAGGTTTTAACGTGGAAACCAAGGACAATCAAGGGACAACAAAAGGGATCCACTTGGGCCATTGATGTATGTAGTGGTTGTTCAAGTGTGGTCTCTGGTAGGAATCAATTAGCCAGTGGAAAAAGGACCTGAAGGTGTTTAGTTGTGGGCCCAAATGTTTTCAGAGCCGAAACACACACACACACGCACATATATATATATATATGCACAATATATCCAAACGGTTGATCAATGTCATCTTTGGCGATTGACCATTCAGGCCTTCCAGGCCCCAAAATTCTTGGCGAAGCACCAAAAAACTTGAGATTCCCAGGTGCACCGTGCAGCCCCAACATTTCCAGACAGAGACGAGTTTGCCGCGCCCCACCAAACATCTAACAAATCATTGCATCAATTCCCTTCGTTGCATTCCCTGGTTTCCTTGCATCTTGTCCTATCATGTCATGTATCTGAGTAAATAATAATATTTTACTAGTTTACTAACTTGAAATAAGGCAATTTGAGAATGATGTCCCTATTGTTTCCCCTAACCATCATTCCAGGGTTCGATCGCAGTGAGGTCGTGATGAAATTTACCCAGATGTATGTCATGTATGTTGGTTAAACTGAACATCCCTGAAAATGACATAGACGGTAATCAAGATATGTGAACATGTACCCTCTGGTAAACTTTTACAAAAAACTATGGAAAATCACCATTTTGAATGGGAAAACTATGGAAAACTCACTCTAAATGGTCCATTTTCAATAGCTTTTTTGACATAACCAGAGGGTATCTATTTCCCCCTGGGCTCCACAAGCACCAAGCTCCAGCTTCCACCAGGTCACGGCTCGTCCTGAGCTGCGCTCGTTGCTGCAGGTGGCGCTACCTGGCAGGGATCATGGAGAGAACATGGGTAATGGGCCTAAAAGAATGCCATAAACTATCCCCCAGTTCTCACCATTTGTATAGGTGGTATGTGTACCATTCCCAAATGGGTGGTTTAAGTTTAAACCACATTACTGCTAAACTCTCAAGTGTGAGACATGGAAATACTGGATAGAGTATGCAAAAGGTTGTTTCCAACATTTGGAAACCACCCAGGGAGATGTTCCACTGCCAAGCCTGGTCGACAGAAAATAGGACTCCAATTCGGGAAGAAGTGCAGTGACGCAGGGTTACCCACAACAATGGGGTACACAACAAACAAGAATGAGGAATTCGACCATATTCTATTCAACCTATGGTATTTATATATATATATATACGTAGTCAATTTATAGTGTGAACGAAACAACTCAACACAACAAACGGAATGAAGACCTATTTCTGTTGTTGTTTGACCCATCTGAACCCCAGTGACATGCCTAGAATTGCCTAGGGGGTCATATCTAATTTTGTTCATACAGTTTTTATATGCAAACTCTAATGATATGCACTAAACCCAGTCCCAAATCAGAAAGATTTGGGATTTCAATGAATTTTTGCCCGTTGTTTCCAACTTAATGTCAACCCTGGATTCCTAATTACTGAAACTTGGTTGCTTTTCCGTCCAGTAATCAAAAATGACTGGCTGAGAAACCTCCTGTTTTCAGGGCATCTAGATATGAAAATCATCCGAATGGTGGGATTTCCAGTAAGCCATGTTTCAACAACCAGCTAAAACTAGGACGTATATTAGGATTCATCAGCTAGAAACTTGCGAGTTCGGTTTAAATGTCTCCATGAGACCCCAAAAAATCATCCAGGCGTCATGGATGACCATGACTTAGCCTAGGAATGTATAGGTTACCCTCTGGTAAACGTTTACATAACTATGGAAAATCACCATTTTGAATGGGTAAATCAACTATAAATGGCCATTTTCAATAGCTTTTTGTTTGTTTACCAGCGGGTAGCCCATGGTGACATCCCCCATGGTTTCCCAGGCCGCCCATGGCTTCGCCGCCTCGGGCGCTTCCCAAGGCCTGTCCCAGGCGAGCCGATGATGACATGGCCTCAGCATCCCAATGAGCACAGTGATAGTAAGAGTAAATGGTAGCAATCATGCTATAGCAATAGAAATAGCAATTTTTTTCTCAGCCATGGTTTCATGCCGGTATTGGCATATGGGTGAAACCGTGGGCATATAGAAATAGCAATAGTAATAGTGAAAGTGAAAATCAGAGTGCAAGTGATAGTCATAGTAGCAACAATAGTCATCAGGTGCGACTGCAGGTTCTATATCATATCTGGATACTATGTAATCTGATTGATGTTTTTAACCCCTCTGAAAATATGCGCGTCACTTGGGAATAGTGTTGGTTAAACCACCGGCCCATTACCTACACCCATTAGTAGTTGCACAGTCAATGGCAGTCTTATTGCTAAAAACCTCCCTTTTCTGTTTTTGGGCTAAGCCTAATTTTTTCTTGCTTAAACCTCCCTTTTTAGTCGTTAAACTTTCCTTTTAATTGCTTAAACCTCCCTTTTTAGTGGTTAAACTTTCCTTTTAATTGTTTAAACCTCCCTTTTTAGTGGTTAAACCTACTTTTTAGTTGTTAAACGTCCCTTTTTATTACTTAAAATTACCTTTTTATTGGTTAAACGTCCCTTTTTATTAGTTAAAGTTCCATTTCTAGTGGTTAAACGACCATTTTTATTAGTTAACGTTCCGTTTTTAGTCGTTAAACGTCCATTTTTCTTAGTGGAAATTACAGTTTTATTGGTTAAACAGTTAAACGTCCCTTTTATTAGTTAAAGTTACCTTTTTGGTGGTTAAACGTCCCTTTTCATTAGTTACAGTTCCATTTTTAGTGGTTAAACGTCCCTTTTTATCAGTTAAAGTTCCATTTTTAGTGTTTAAACGTCCCTTTTTATTAGTTAAAATCACCTGTTTATTGGTTAAACGTCCCTTTTTATTAGTTAAAGTTCTATTTCTAGTGGTTAAGCGTCCCTTTTTATTAGTTAAAGTTCAATTGTTAGTGATTAAACATCAATTTTAATTGGTTAAAATTACATTTTTATTGGTTAAACGTCCCTTTTCATTAGTTAAAGTGCCATTTTTAGTGGTTAAACGTCCCTTTTCATTAGTTAAAGTTCCATTTTTAGTGGTTAAACGTCCGTTTTTATTAGTTAAAGTTCCATTTTTAGTGGTTAAACGTCCCTTTTCATTAGTTAAAGTTCCAGTTTTAGGGGTTAAACGTCCCTTTTCATTAGTTAAAGTTCCATTTTCTGTGGTTAAATGTACCTTTTTATTAGTTAAACTTCCATTTTTATTGGTTAAACGTCCCTTTTTCATTAGTTAAAGTTCCATTTTTTGTGGTTAAACATCCCTTTTCATTAGTTAAAGTTCCATGTTTTGTGGTTAAACGTCCCTTTTTATTAGTTAAAGTTGCATTTTTTATGGTTAAAAATCCATGTTTATTAGTTAAAGTTGCATTTGTTGTGGTTAAACGTCCCTTTTTATTAGTTAAAGTTCCATTTTTAGTGGTTAAACGTCCCTTTTTATTAGTTAAAGTTCCATTTTTAGTGGTTAAACGTCCCTTTTTATCAGTTAAAGTTCCATTTTTTGTGGTTAAACGTCCCTTTTTTATTAGTTAAAGTTCCAGTTTTAGTGGTTAAACGTCCCTTTTTATTAGTTAAAGTTCCGTGTTTATTGGTTAAACGTCCCTTTTTGATCAATTAAAGTTCCATTTTTAGTGGTTAAACGTCCCTTTTTGATTAGTTAAAGTTCCATTTTTAGTGGTTAAACGTCCCTTTTCATTAGTCAAAGTTCCATTTTTTGTGGTTAAACATCCCTTTTTATTAGTTAAACTTCCATTTTTAGTGGTTAAAGTCACCTGTTTGATTAGTTTAAAGTTCCATTTTTAGTGTTAAACGACCATTTTTATTAGTTAAAATTACATTTTTATTGGTTAAACGTCCCTTTTTCATTAGTTAAAGTTCCATTTTTTGTGGTTAAACATCCCTTTTCATTAGTTAAAGTTCCATGTTTTGTGGTTAAACGTCCCTTTTATTAGTTAAAGTTGCATTTTTTATGGTTAAAAATCCATGTTTATTAGTTAAAGTTGCATTTGTTGTGGTTAAACGTCCCTTTTCATTAGTTAACGTTCCATTTTTAGTGGTTAAACGTTCCTTTTCATTAGTTAAAGTTCCATTTTTAGTGGTTAAACGTCCCTTTTCATTAGTTAAAGTTCCATTTTTAGTGGTTAAACGTCCCTTTTTGATTAGTTAATGTTCCATTTTTAGTGGTTAAATGCCCTTTTCATTAGTTAAAGTTCCATTTTCTGTGGTTAAACGTACCTTTTTATTAGCTAAACTTCCATGTTTAGTGGTTAAACGTCCCTTTTTGATTAGTTAAAGTTCCATTTTTAGCGGTTAAAGTCACCTGTTTGATTAGTTAAAGTTCCATTTTTAGTAATTAAACGTCCCTTTTTGATTAATTAAAGTTCCATTTTTAGTGGTTAAACGTTCCTTTTCATTTGTTAAAGTTCAATTATAAGTCTTTAAACGTCCCTTTTCATTAGCTAAAGTTTCATTTTTAGTGGTTAAACATCCCTTTTTGATTAGTTAAAGTGCCATTTTTAGTGGTTAAACGTCCCTTTTCATTAGTTTAAAGTTGCATTTTTTGTGGTTAAACGTCCCTTTTTGATTAGTTAAAGTTCCAGTTTTAGTGGTTAAACGTCCCTTTTTATTAGTTAAAGTTCCATTTTTAGTGGTTAAACGTCCCTTTTCATTAGTTAAAGTTCCAGTTTTAGGGGTTAAACGTCCCATTAGTTAAAGTTCCATTTTCTGTGGTTAAATGTACCTTTTTATTAGTTAAACTTCCGTTTTTATTGGTTAAACGTCCCTTTTTCATTAGTTAAAGTTCCATTTTTTGTGGTTAAACGTCCCTTTTTATTAGTTAAAATTACCTTTTTAGTGGTTAAACGTTCCTTTTCATTGGTTAAAGTTCCATTTTTTGTGGTTAAACGTTCCTTTTTATTAGCTAAAGTTCCATTTTTAGTGGTTAAACGTCCCTTTTCATTAGTTAAAGTTTCATTTTTGTGGTTAAACGTCCATTATTAGGTAAAATTACATTTTTATTGGTTAAACGTCCATTTTTATTGGTTAAAGTTTCATTTTTGTGGTTAAACGTCCATTATTAGTTAAAATTACATTTTATTGGTTAAACGTCCATTTTTATTGGTTAAAGTTCCATTTTTATTGGTTAAACGTCCCTTTTTGATTAGTTAAAGTTCCATTTTTATTGGTTAAACGTCCCTTTTTGATTAGTTAAAGTTCCATTTTTTGTGGTTAAACGATGTTAAACGTCCCTTTTTGATTAGTTAAAGTTCCATTTTTTGTGGTTAGTTTCCCCCATTTGCTGCTCATCTCTCCTTGCACCCGCCCAGCGAAAAAACCCTTGCCGTCAAGGTGCCACTCCACCCGCCACGCAGCGCACACTCGGGGAGATGATCTTCCTGGTCCAGATGATCCCTAAGGAATACTCATGTCCAGTAGATAGATATATGGATAGACATACGCACTGTATATAGATGTAGACTATGTAGATAGATACTGTAGATATATGGATATATAGATAGATATTTGTATGTATATTGTATAAAGTGTATATTTACTGTATATATATATGACATAACATACATTAAATACATTATATACACGCATGCTATGTGGTAACATAATGTAACATAAACACATACTTTCCACATATACGTAATATGATATAATATGATATAATATATATATTATGTATATATATATGTATATATGTATAAAAATGTGTATATATATATATATAGATATGTGATTATATGTATAATGCGCATATAACGACCCCCAAGATAGATAGAACAAGTTGAAAGCTGTATATAAATTATGGAGGAAACATCATCTATATAGCATCCTGGGAAGATGGTTTGATAAATGAGACACTTGCCCAAACTCATGCCCAACATATCTGAAAATCATCCAATCATGCAATTGATTGCTGCAACCATGTCCATGTGCATATATATATACATATTACTCTCTCCCTCTCATTACTTATCATTATACATTTGGCTGAATTACAACAAGTCACTCTAACCTGAAAATAGTTGCAAGTCAGGCCATTTGATGCTTCCCCGAATCTTCACATCATTCCTTGCGGATGAGCTAACCCAGCCCCGGTGCCGAGGTTCTCAAACATCATGATGCGATCTGCTACCTTCATAGGTGTGAGCCTCAGAAAACGCAACACGACTGCGGCGAAACTGTGCTGTCAGTGAAAGTGGAATGGTTTGCTTCACTAGGTCAACTGTTTTTTTTTCATGGATATGGAAAATCACATAAAATCACAATTTTAAATCCGCAAATCATCATTAATCGTCATTAATCATCTATAAATGTGAACATATGTGAACCATTTTCCATAGCAAACTGCTAAATAGATGGGATGAGATTGTCGGGTAACCCTGTCGAAGGTTCCGTGGATAAGATTTCTCGGTCTTTTGGAAAACAAATCTCCCATAAAATCAAAAAACTCCCAATGCTTGGACGAGTTTTATTGTGGTTTCCATTTTCATGTTGGGGAAATACAGTACATACATAATGTCCATTTCATTCATTGTGGTGTCCAATACTTCCACTCCCATGCTATTTACCCCCATAAATTTCCAGGATGTGAACAAACCCAGCACTGCCTGAAGTCGTTCATGGTACCCCAGCACCACTGGGACTCCGCGACTCTTTCCGTTCCGGGCTCGCCTGGTTCTGCACCACCGGGTGAGTCAGTGGATGCCCCACGTCTTGGGGCTTCATTGGGCGCTTAGATCATCATGGCACATGGGATGAGGGCACATGGGTTTCAATGGGATCTCATGGGAATTGAATTGCAATTCCCAACTATCAGAAAACTAATGGCATGACTGGCATGACATCTTGGTTCATTTGGAAGCAGGTGGTACAGGCCTGAGGCAGCTCTGCCACAGGCTTTGGCCTTGCAGGTGCCGCTTTGGGTCTTCGCAAAGGCGAATCCGGGGGCTTTTCAAAGAGAGCCTGGCGGACGTCAGGAAGCGGAGCCCCAAAATTTGCATTGAAGGCTTCAAAACGTGAGGAAAGCAATAGGACCCACCATCCCCAATTTTACCATGTTTGGTGGGTGGTATAAAGAAACCATAATAAACCACTGACATATGGGTGGTGTATAATATTGTTTTACCATGTTTTACCTATATTACTAAGTTTATTTAATGTCCATATACCATGGTTTATGTAGTAAAGAACTTCCAAAGAAATCCTAGGCCTCAGGCTTTAGGCCGCACCAGCCTTGGAATGCCACTCAGCAGGACGTGGAACATGGACCTCTTCCTCAGACAGAGAAGAACAACGCAAAAAACTGGATGAACATTGCAAAAAATATGAAAAACAATGGATGAAAATGATTCCTTGTGAGTAGCCAAAGGGACCAAATGGATCTCAATGGTAATGAAAACGCTCCTTGGACTTGTGTTTCTAGATAATCGACTTCATAGGCCCAACGGAGACTGGGATCTGCCAGGAAGGAAGAAAGGGAAACCATTGCATCCATGACTCTTTGCAGCCAACTTCTGCAACCCCCCATGTAATCCCAAGGTTTCTTTCCGGCAGATTATCACTTGCAAACCTTCTATTTGAGAGTTGGATTTCTGCAGGTTGCACCATCCAAAATCCATCCAAAATCCATCCAAAATCCATCCAAAACATCCCAGCTAACAGCTCCTAGGCTTTTGATCTGCCAGAAACTTGCAGCGTTTCTGGCACATCATCCGCAGATTTCATCCGTTCCCAACTTTCCCAGCAAAGCTCGTCCACGGTTTCAACCAATCCATTAAAAATCCACATGTGTTCGGTGAAATCCCGATTTCATCAATTTTCCAGTGAAATCCCAAGTGTTCCTACTCCCAAAACCAGTTTCTCCGAGCCGCCGTGGGCTCAATGATGCTATCCTGTGCGAAGGCCGCTGGTGCCGCCAATGGCGCCGCACCAGGCGTCCCGGGTTTCGCGCTCGGCATGAAGACCAGGGTTGGCCTGCGAGCCGTGGTTGGCGTTAAGGGGAACAAACAGATCGAAGAAAACATCCATCAATTCATAATATAAATTTCATGATATGGATTTTATATGGATTCATATATGAATATGTGGATGGACCGTATCCATGTAATTATGGTAATCATTTATGGTTTTCAGTTCATAAGATGATTCTACTATATCTGGGTTTGATTCCCCCCCAACACCCCAAAAAAAAAATCAAATGAATGAATTGACACTTTGGTAAGCAAACATGGCTTGCTTCCCAGCTATCTTTGAGTACCCGAGGGTATAACTGTTTTACACCCTGCTGGCAACACGCTTGAGCTACATTTTGTGATGATTGGGCAAAAACAGAAGAAATGACATAAGATCAATAAATTCGTAATACAATTGTCATGATAGGCGATAGAGACCCATATTCATAATACTAGTATGGATGAAATAATCACTTTATACGACTTTAGATGTTTTGAATGGCGATATGAACGTTTTAGGATGATGTTTCATGAATCATGGTCATAAATCATGGTCATCATCACGGCCATCATAATGAAATATCATATTATATATATATACCCTCTGGTTATTTAACATAGCCATGGGAAATGGCCCATAGAAATAGATGGTTTACCTATTAATAGCATGGTGATTTTCCATGGCTATGTTAAATAACCAAAGGGTATATATATATTTATTTAGACTAAAATCCTATCGAATTCCGATGAGATCTCCTGAAACACCGGTTCACCGCTGTCACAATTGTAGCCACCCTGCCCACAGAATTGTGCAAAATCCAGTCCTAAAACAGCGATAAATTGAACCTGTTCTATATTTTTACTGTAAACCATAGAAACCAATCCATCACCTTCTAGTTATCTTTCACAATTCCAAAATCATAGGACTCTATCACACTGTGACACTGTACATATCATCCTATGTCAAAGGTTTCACTGGATTTCACTGGATGGCAGGATGGCTGTCAAACCATAACTCAACCAACATCGGTTAAACATGGAAAAACATGGAAAAGCATGGAAAAGCATTAACTCAACCAATATGGTTAATTGGTGTAACTGGCGGTTTGTAACTGGTGGTTTGAATTTCCGGGAAGCCCCGAACGGAATAGCAGCGCCTCTCAGCCCTCTCGCGACTCAAAGTTTCCTCGCACGGCTCCACCTCGACAGGTTGAGCATGGTTGAGCATCAACCAGCAACCTCAAGACTATGAAAGGAAAATAGTTACATACATACAGCATATAAATTTACACACATACACACACACATATATATATATATACGTATATTAATAGCCACTATAAGTTGTGTTATATTCTATCAAGCCCATTTCTAAGTGGCAAACGAATCATATGGTAGTGATCTTGTGGGACAATCTTGTATACAAATGGATGTAAATAATGACCTTGTTTAAAGTGAAACTCTTGAAAAACAAGATCGCTCACGAAACAGGTCGGAGAATCATCCATATACAATCCAAATCTCTCCAAATCTAAGTTGGCACCAGGAAGTCCTGATTCTGAAGGTGTTTTATTAGAAATCCTGCATATAAATAGAATTTTATATGAAAAGATTGATATCCGCATGGCGCATATCATATTAATATATATTAATTCTTTATGGCTAAAGTTGGCCACTTTAAGGGATCAGCCATTCACCAACCGGTTTACATCGCATCCTTGCTGGTAAAAGCAAGCATATTCCCGCTGCGGCTGATCTACCCCTATCCCAAACATGATTTCTAATAGATTGTAATAGTTAGGCGGTGGAAAAAATTGTATTTTTTCTTTAACATCTTATCTTGCATGATAAGAACTTAACGTGTTTCACAACCACATTCTTGGTTGATTCAATCCGGATGTTTGATGCTTAACATCCTGTCATTGGTTAGTTCCTGGTTCAGCATGGCATCCACCTTCACTGGTTGATTCAATGGCTGAATTCCCGTTGTGGTTTGTAACCCATCCAACCGATTGCTTGGGAAAATCTACATCTCTTTTTGGTCAAAAACGCCACACCTGCCGCAGGTCTTCAGGCACTGTCTCGGTTGCACCTCAGGGGATCCAGTTCCTGTTTCACCCTGTGCCAGTGCCATGGACCATGGTTTCACCCAATGTGAAACATCGATGAAAAAAATCGCAACCAACTAACCAACTGCCCTTGCCTGGGAATACAGGAGCGACATCCTCAACCTCTCCTGACATGAAATCATTAGAAGGTGAACCCCCAGCAGGCAGTGAATCATCACCCGATCATGTGAAATACCCCTCTCAAATGGGCCTTAGAATAAAGAGATTCAATATAAAACGCTAAAGCTTTTAGTTCGGTATCTAATATTATGCAGAATGTATTGTACTAGCGATAGTAAGCCCTTCAGAAAGCATCAACTCGTGGTTTCCAACCCGTGAATCCTCTGAAAGACCATGGCTGATGCCGCAGATGACGTCGTGAGACCGCCATGGGACTCATATTCTTCCGGTTAGCTAGGACTCATATTATCCCATGATATTCCCTGGAGATTTCCATGAAATCCCCCTTTCTTCCGCTACCCACTGGTTCTCAAAAACATAGCTATGGAAAATCTCCAGAAATGGACCAGTTTCCATAGCGGGTGAAATGGCCGGGTAACACCTCGGGTACCACCGCACCTTTCGCTGGACCAAAGTGCAGGGCACGGATGGGAGAAGGCGCCTCCGAAGATGGAGCCATATAAATAGTACCTACCTACACACACACACAGATATATATATATATATAGCCTCCCTCCCTCTATATATATAAATAGAATACAATATTTACATAGTATACATATATTATAATATACGTATATGTATATATATATATGTATATATATATATGTATATATATATATATCTATGTATATATGTATATATATATATGTAATATATGTGTGTGTGTGGGATTTCTTTATTACATACTGTGTTGATATGTTGAATGTTGAACTTACAGTACATCAATCATATATGTCATGCATCATATAATTATAAAGCGTGATCCACGGCATTCACCACTGCAATAATTAGGGCACCTGTGCAATGCGTTCGGAGATGGGGCTTGCAGCGTCCTGCGACACGCTGACAGCGACAGCAATGAGAAAGGCTTGTTGGGACCTGGTCCATTTTCTCATCCCGCCAAAGAGTGAGGATTTCTATCTTTTGTAAGTGGGAAACACAATGCCATAAACATAGTATGAGCGATGGTTTATAGCTCCCATTTGAAGCGATTTTGGGGATGGTTTATTCTTGGGATTACCACATGACGAACTTTTGTTTCTAGTCATTTTAGGTCTTTGACCTATGAGTTTGATTAATATCTTCAGATGTTTCCAAAACATGGATCCAGTTGAGCTGGCGACTGGAAATCCAAAATGTCTTACTGGAAATTCCTACATTTATAGATGATCTTCCCAGAAATCTCCATGTTTAGTTTGGGAAATTCCCAGCTGGCCTTGGGCGGTGCTGGAAGCCATGAAAACTCCCATGGCTAAGTTTTGGACGTTTTTGGACTGTTTAAAACCTTATCAACTATTGTCAAGTAAAAGTTTGACTGACCATTCAAGAGATACTCACCATTTTTCTATATTTTTCTGGGCCGAAAAAATCGACTGACCCTTCATCCCAACAATCCTGCGTTCGGATTCGCTTGCCCGAGGATGGTAAGTCCTCGGTCGTGGCGTCCCGTTCGGATTCGTCGCTCAAGCCATCCATGGAAACCCCTTCTGTTCACATCGAAAGAGCTGGGACTTATTGATGTTCACCCCCCCCAAAAAAAAAAAATGCAAGAGAATACCTATTGATCCATAGCCAATGTTCATTTTGATGGCCTAAAGTGTGGTGGTTCTAAGACATTGAAGGAACCCTACAAGGTGAGACGGTGAATCAAGGGCATTTGCGCATTGGTTTCGCAGATCAGACAATTGCCCAAATTTGGTGCAAGATAAGCTGGAAGGGAGAAATCTGAAGATTTCAGGTACCTGAATCCATCCAAATTCGTGCGAAAAAATGATTGTATTCGAGTTCACGGGGTTCCACCAGGTAATTTAATAGTTGGTCAAAATTTTCCTTCAACACCCTTAACTGTTTGTGATGTGGTAGACCCACCATCCATCCCTAGTTTGACTGGAAATGGGTGGTAGATGGTTGTAGTCTTCCCACGTGGGCACTGATCACTGATTGGTTTTTATTACATCAAAATATGGAGCCAGTACCACAGTCAGGTCACAAGGGGGCTCAAGTGAATGCCTAGGTTTTTCAAACGTGTTTAGAACCACTCAAGAAAGTCAAATCCAGCAGTTCCTATTCATTTCTGGTTTATGTAATAAGTCAATTGGAATCATCATCATCCTACATCATCCCAGCCAGGATGAAAAAAAAAGAAAAACACCACCCGGAAATTCGGTTTGGTACTGGATCTATCTGTTCAACGAAGGGGGTCCCACTCTTGTGTCTCATATTAACTAACTAGCTAGCTAGCTAGTTAGCTATCTATATCTATATCTATATCTATATCTATATATATATATTCCAATTTCAGGATGATTAAACCATATCAAAAACTCGATGTATGATGCTTTAACATGGTTTGACATCCATGTTTGATGCATAAATTCCCATCTTTGATGGATAAATCACGGTTATTTTTTTGCATGGTTAAACCATACAGCCACCAGCCAACCCTCAAAATTCCGAATCTAAGGCCCTGGCCTTTGGTGCAGTAGTTATGCCTCTTGACATTTTTTTCAGGGAAAAGTGGGATCAAAAATCCAAAAAACATGGAAAATGGTGGTTTTATGATGGTTTTTATGGTGATTTCATGGGATTTTAGTGGTGATGTCATTGGAAATTTATGGTGATTCACAGGGATGGAAGCAACACAATTGGAAATATCAGTAGCATTGACCCAATACTCTTATGATCATCAATATGTTGTTTTATAGTTGAAATATCATGTATATATGTATATATACATAGCCCTATGTTCGAAATACAAGAAGTTTAGACGCTATTGATTGTTTAGTGTTATTGTTTATTTATACCGCTCGTAAGTTTTGCCAATACGTATAGTAATTAAGTGGTATTTTTATAAAGTCGGCAAGTTAAAGCCAAAATTTACTTTGCAAAAAAATAGTTTCCCAAATCGTTGCCAATTTAAAGTCAAAGCTATCAAAGATGCAGGAAACTTGCAAACACAGCTACTGGGATCTGTTGCCTTTACGTCAAATAGCTCTCAGTCATCTACTAATTTGAATACGTTACCCTCAATAGATATTTGCGTATCATATAGCATATATTTAAACATATGAACCTGTATGTATCTGCATGTAGGGATATTATATATTGCATTATTATTGTCATTGTCATTGTGATAATTGTTACTATTACTAATCCGCATTAATATGTACCATGTATGTACATATGCAAATATGTATGTATATGTATACATATATATATATATGTATGCATATATGTATACAAATATATGTGTATGTATATATATATATGTCTATGTGTATATGTATCTATGAATGTATGTATGTATGTACGTATGCATGTATGTATGTATGTATGTATGTGTGTATGTAAGTATCTATGTATGTGTGTATGTGTGTATGTGTATGTATATGTATATGTATATGTATGCGAAGCGCACTCGGCACAAACCCTCGCTCTTCCTTTCTTTTCCAGGAAACCAGAGGTGCTTGATCAAGCAGCGAATGACGTTTCATGAGATGTCCATTTCATGTGATGAAATTGCACGGGTGGCAATATAAAAAAAATTGGACATCATTTCTCCTGCGAGATTGGTTCTGCCACATGTTCACACAGAGGATGAAGACCCAAAGATTTACGTTTACGGCCAGAAATAAAATCACCATCATACACAATTTTCCACCTGCCATTTCTAGAGGAGAACATCATAAGTTGTTGAAGCTCACTGTCCTTGGTCAAAGAGTTGGCTAATTGGGAGTCTCCATTCACCCAGCGTACTTCAACGCCCACATCATCCATCGCCTCTTTGAGGCACAAGGTTTCAATATCGGAGCGTTTTTCTGCCCCTTTCAGTGTCAAAACAGTTTGGCTCAAACGGTCATACAAGTTCTTGCTATCACTAACCAAAACGCCAGGAATCCTTTTGACAGTTTCATTGCAGTTCCAAATGTCAGTAGGATACCCTAGAAATTCACTTGTCTGAAAACGAATTGCAAACATTTGATCCTCACCATCCACGGCTGACAGAGTTTCGGCCGCTGCGCTCGATCTACAGGTTCTGCTCACTTTGGCAGAATGCCAGAATATTGGATTAATCAGGTCCAATTGTCCTGATAACAGATTTTTGGACGTCAAACCAATGATCACTCCCTTTGTGCTGCCACCATCAACGCGGTTTGCATGCGCCGCGTCTGCCCATGTAGCTACTATCATGTCAGAAGGTTGTAAACTGTGAATCAGCATAGTGGAGGATTTCCGAATCTTTGCTTTCTTAAGCAGCTTGTTTGTCTCAACTAAGTCGGACACTGTTGCCTTGTTGACTCGAGACAGTAAGAGTCCAGTAGGAGCACTCCACTCCATGGCGATTTGCCCTGAATGCCATGAAAGACAACCCAAAACACTTCTCATTTGCTGTTTTTCCGATTCAGTAATTGGGCTGTCAGGCTCATCAAAACGTTTCTTGGAAATGTAAATTTCTGACACTTCGTCCAAAAATTCTGCTTGACTCAAAACAAATTCACAATTCTCCTTTTGCTCAATTGTCAAACCACATTGCACAAACTTGTTTGCCTCCCAGTCTGTCCAGCGGAATCGGTGCTGAATCTTCTGGCAAACCTCCTGCCAGCGAATGTCTGAGCTTGATCCGCCAAAAAGAAAATCATCAACGTGTCCACAAATCCAGCCAATAGGTTGGTTGTTGGAATCGAAAAGCCCCCAACAACAGGGATCACATTTTTGACGCTCAAAGCCGAGGGATTCCAAATATTCTGCGATAGTCAGGTGCCATTCCAAAGGTGCTTCCACCAGGCCATACGCTGCCTTCGCAAGACGAGTCAGACTGCCCCTGGGGAGTGACAAAGCGTCACATATCTCAGGCAGTGGTTCGCAAAGAAGTTGTCGAGCATAGTCTCTTCCTTGCAGGAAAGCGCCTGATACATCGCCTTTCTTGACTCGAAATTTGAATGCCGCACACATGGACAAGAATAACTGTCGGGTGGTCCGCGTCATTGTAGGACTGGCTGTTGGCCGAAACTCATACTCTGGGTCCATGTATCCCAGCACGACAGCCCGAGCTTTTGCTTTGCGCTCGGAGGTCTCTGGATTGACTTTCCATGTCAGAATCCAACGCATCTTGAGTGCTTGTTGACGATCAGGTTTCAAATGTTCTGGCAGTTTCTCAAAAACTTTGGCTATCACAAAATTCTTCACCTCTTTGTCTTTGGCCTCCTTGAATTGCGCTCGCTCTTCCAGTGAGAGACGTCGCTCGTTCACCTCCACATGGTTCTTCTTCATTTGATTGATGATGAAGGCTTCAAAATCTCGGGTCCAAAACCCCCGTTTGGCCTCCTTTGGGCCAGGGAGATCGATCTCCACTGAAAGACATGCATCTGGTTCATCAAGAAAATTGGATCGTTCCTCAGAAACAAGGAGAGCAAATGGGAAGTTATCAGCCACCAAGCCATCCTTTTCTTCTAGTCGAGGTCGGTGCGTTGGCCTCTCCTCATGGACAGGATGTTTGTATCGATGCCTCTTAACTGGGACATCACGTTTCTCCTGTTCGTCTACTTCCATCTCATCAAAGTCGGCTTCTGACCAGTCAGAAGAAATGTCATCATATGTTTTCCGCGCTGAGCCATCCAGCATTCCATGAATAGTCCAAGGAATGGGTTGATCCTCTGAGAGGTCCACCCAGGCTTCCTCTCTCCAGCTTGCTGGACGTAGTTGCTCCGGGGCAGCTTTCAGTAAGCGGCCCGAGCGATACAGCCAGACTATACTTCCAGGACGAATGGAGCCATCAGGATTACTACGCGTTTCAGTGGCCAGAACTCGTGCTGGTCCCAAAAACTTCCCTGAGCCAAACTTACTTGCTCCGTGATTCTTCGTCACCTGTTTTCGCCAATAGAAAACCAAATCACCAGGACCAAAAACTCTCAACTGTCGGTGTCCTGAATTCTCAGCTCGTTGCATTCGTTGACGGGTTTGTTCATCCAGGAAAGCTTTTTCAGCTTCACACATCACTTTCACATCCGTTCCAAATTCAGCAGAAATCCCCTTCTCCGTCAAAATAGGAAAATCAGGAAACCCATCATCATGTAAATTCCCTTGTTCATCAGGACTTCTCCCAAAAGCATGTTGAAGAGGCGAATAACCCAAATATTGGTCATGAGTATTTTGTGCCCACATGGTCCTCGCAAAAAGCTCTTTCGGGTTCATTTGGGGAAACTCTTTGCTCAGGGAAGTCATCATGTTTTGGGTGGTTTGGATGGCTCTCTCAACAATGGACATTTGCCAGTGAGCTTCAGTAGGAACATGTTCCACCACGACATTTTGTTCAGAAAAGTATTGATCCAACAAATTACTTCTCCAAGCTCCATCAGGGTCCAACCGAATGAATGAGGGTTTTCCAAAACAGGGGCGCCAAAAGGAATTATAGAAATCAATGAAATCTTGTGCTCCTGGATGCAAATGACTCCCTGTCCCCAGCACGTGTCCCACCCTGAGTCGGCTCCCTTCATCGACAGCCAAAATGAATTTCCAACATTCCCCAGTTTCAGGGTGAATCCAAGCTCCAACGTCACTTTGAAGAACCGACCATTTTGGGGGAATTTCTTTCAGAGTGGCCATTTTCCGGGGTTTGACCCTACTCAGTTCTTCACATGTCGGACACCTAAAACTCTTGGCTAACTCAATGACTTCAGGTTTTGCCCCTCTTCTTTCCAGGGCTTGAATGAGGTACTCTTTGTTCCAGTGGCCAGTAGCAGAGTGGATTCGGCGAATCTTTCCCAAAACCTGTCCCCGTTCTTCGCGAGTCATGGCCATGAAATTGAACTCTTCATTTCCGGAAGTAACCCCACAAAATTCTTTGGGAAACCCATCATCCCCATTTTTAGGTAAACCAGGACACTTGTTATTCACTCCTTCGGGTATTGGTGGGTCCCCCATGTTACCCCAAACTCCAGGAACCCCATCAACCAATTCACTCAAAAGAATGCTGCCTTGATTCCCAAAAGTCAGGTGATTCACCACCCTTTTTGCAAACTCTGGAGTATAGTACGCGCTCAGGCGGCATGTCTTGCTGCCTTCGCACTTGCCATGAGAGTGGTTATTGGTACAAGGAAGTGTCATGTGTCGAACCTGCTCATAGTTGTTACCAACCACACGCCAACCCTTGAACAGCAACTGACCCCCTTGGTCTCTCAGGTTCACTTGACACCCTTTACAAACACCGGAAAAGACGGGAATCTTGCTCTGTAAATCATGAAACCAAGGAAGTCCCCAGCCCTCGCACCTCTCAGACAGTTCAATCATGAAAGTGAGACCCAAAGAATGAACATGTTGCGCAATCTCCGAAACACTCTCATACTGCTTACGGGCCCTGGCACGTTTAGAGTCCAAGGTCTCTCTTTGCTCAGGGGTACGCATGTTCAAGTGCTGCATGGGACTGTAGGGACCACATTCAGGGCTCATCCAAACAACAGCAGGACGCTTCTCAGAAACTATGGCCTTGATCAGGTTTACCCCTTCCTTGGTTTCTATATCCCCCCCGTTCCAGTGTGAAACTCTCTCAGCCGAATTGACGCCGAATTTCTGCTGACACGTGCTTGTCAACACACTTTCAGGAGAACAGCAAACTTCCAACAAAAGCAACCGATCATGTTGAACCAAGGAACACCACTCTTTCCCCAAAGCACGTTCATGGTTATCCAAAACATGTTTCAACAATTTGGGGGAAAGGTGTTTGGAAGTATCTTCAAATTCTTCCTCAGAATCACTCACTGCGGCTCGGTCCGCTGAGACTTCTCCTTGTTCACGCGTGCTTGGCGACGGCGAAGCTCCTGGATCTGGTTCTCGAGAGCTGCGACTTCGAGATCCACTTCGGTCACCATCTCCTCTTCGGACTCTGGCACTGGAATCTGCTGGCTGATCAGGGAGAATGAGGTGTCGGTGGCACTTGATGCCGGATCGGATGGGGCAGGCATCCCCTTGCGGCGATGCGAGGTCTTGTTGTGCTCCCAAGCATTGGCCCACTTGACAAAGCGCTCCATCCTCCAGTTCACACTTTCTTCCTTCATCGTTTGACGACACCATTGGAGGTACTTGGGGTAATCCTTGAGGACTTGCATGTAGCTCAAGCTGCTGTGCTCGCCAAATCCCATCTCGTCCTCGGGCACTGCTGGAGTTGACTCCAAGATGGCCCTCATGGCCTTGGACTGCAGCTGACTGATGGTCTCTGAGCCGGTGATCTGCACAGACAGGCTGTCCCGCACAAAGACCTGAAGGTCGGCCTTGCGGTGTGCAGCCTTGTTCAGTTGTTGGATGAGCTCCTTCTTCTTGAGCTCGGCATGGGAGAGTTTGGTCGTTGTCAGCTCCGCCAACCGAGCCGCCAGCTGACTGCGGTTCCAGTTTGTCGGAGGCTTCTCGTTGAACTCGCCGAGCTTCTCGCGAAGGGTCGCTTTGCTGAGAGACATGGTCACTGTTGTGCGGCCAGGTGGATGAGCGATTGTGGGAATCACAGAATGTGTGAGCCGCTGGCTTCCGTGAACAACTCGTGTCATGTTCATCACTCAAGATTTGGCAGATGAAAAACCGTTGAAACCATTCACAACCAGAAAACCAAAACCAATCCTTACGAATGTTACTGCTATGGCCGACACAACAACATGAAACACAATCAACACCGTCACAACAAGAAAGATCACTGAAGATGTCAAAATTGGAATTGTCACTGTTGTGGCTGGAACAGCAGGAGTTTGGCTGAAATTGATCAGAAATGGCTTCCTTCCGAGAGACGCTCTGATGTGCTCCATTTACTCTCGGAAGGAGTTGTCCCTACTCCTGGCAATCTCGCAAAGTGGAAAAAGGCATCACCCTATGCACAGCCTCCTTCCACAGATCTTCTGTGAGAGGAAAAAGCTGATGCCCGTTGGGGGCTTGTTCTAGCTGTACAATAGCTGATGGATTCACTTTCCGCATGATCATCTCGTTGCGCTCAAAGTCAAATGACTGCTCCCAACTTCCGGAGGGCGGCAATGCTCAGCAGCACAGGTTGACCTGGAATTTCATGGACGGCAATCTTCATCTTGCCAGTGGCTCCGTTTAGGGGCACATCCACCGTTGCCGTACTCATGCATGTCGTTTTTCCATTGTTGCCAAACCTGAAGCTGGGGGTGTTTTGCACATCCACTTCAATGCCATCACGCTGGTACTTTTCCAAGTTGAGGCGGCCGATCTGCTCCAGGGCTTCAACGGACCCCACTGAGGAGGTGGCACCTGGATCAATGATGGCCTTTCCGGAAGCAGTCAAGGAGTTGAGCACCACCATGGCTTCCCCATCTGAGCAGTTGCCGCTGAGATGGGCTTGCTCCATAGCCTTTGGCTCTTCAAGGTGTGCCACTGAGAACACAAGATGAGCTTGACTGGGCTTGCCAGGGGCATCACGGTCAGGGCAATCACGGGCAAAGTGCGAGGTGCTTCCACACTTGAAGCACTTGGAAAAATTGTTCTTTGTGGCTTCCCGGGGCTTTGACTCAGCAGGATAGAACTTGCGACTTCGCTTCATCCAGGTTTGCTTCTCCCTGGCTTCTCGGAGGGTTCGTCGGGCACCTTGCAGGGCCTGATAGGCTTCCTCCACTTCACGAGCCACGAGTCCATATTCTGCTTTTTCTTCATCATCCATCCAGTCTGGAGGTTCCTCTGAAGCTCCGTCATCATCCACGTTGATGTCATCTCCCTCGTCAAGGATGAGAGCGGCACCTTTCTGGTTGTCACGAAGACGTAAGTCGTCCTCAGGCCAATTCAGCTTGAGGGCTTGCTTCACATGATCAGTGGTGAATTGGTTCCGCAGATTGGCAATGATTGCACCCCGTTCTGACACATCCAGTCCAGAGCGTTGCAACAGCATCCATGCCACCACAAAGTCCGGGAGGAACTTGTCGGCTTCCAACGAAGCTGCTGTGGACACGTCGACATCGAGGCTGGTCTTGGCTGAAGAGGCATGTGGCTGCCAGGAATACTGGCCCCAATTGTCCCATGCCCGCCAGGTGTGACGAGACCACTGGCTCCAATTTTCACATTGATCATTTTGGCCATCATCTTCAAGGTCATCATTGGTGTCATCCCCTTCCGCAAGACGTCCATCATCTCGGAAGGGACCAGAATGCCGTGACTGGGTGGAGGTTCCTTCATTGAAGCCTCCTGGAGAGGACATGGGTCTATCTGACTGCTGCGACTTCGAGTACCCCACGCCGTACTCTTCAATCGCCTCAGCCAGAGTCCGCTTGGCTTCAAAGAGGGCCTCATCGTGCCGTAAGATCCATGAGTTCATGCTCTCACCACGTCGCCTTTTCACCTGGTAGAAGAACTTGGAGATCATCTTGCCAGCTTCAGCTAAGGTCGGGGCTTGCACTTTGGACTTTAAAAAGTCCAAGAGCTGCACTGCACCTCTGTCATGACTGATCCACCCGGGCACCTTGTGTTGGACAGCTACCCGTGCAGACCCTTCCAAAGCTGCTTGTAGTCTGGGGCCAGCTAGATAACGTTTTTTCCACTCCAGGGTCTCTCCATAGTTCAAGGCAGCGCGGCGATATGCCACGTACTGTTCTGCAGTGCCATCGTAGATTGGCACACCTTCCTTGGTGTACCGCAGCTCTGATGCCATCGCTCACAGTACCTACTTCTAGTTCACACGACCAAGTTGGTCAAACAAAACTGACCTCAAAGGGTCCACTGGGCTCAACAAAGGTCCTAAGGAGTCCCCCAGCCAACGCTTGTGTTGCTGGAAGCTCCGCCTACCATGCGAAGCGCACTCGGCACAAACCCTCGCTCTTCCTTTCTTTTCCAGGAAACCAGAGGTGCTTGATCAAGCAGCGAATGACGTTTCATGAGATGTCCATTTCATGTGATGAAATTGCAATGTATATGCATATGTATATGTATATGTATATGTGTATGTATGTATATGTATATGTGTATGTATGTATATGTATATGTATATATATATGTGTGTATGTATATATATGTGTGTGTATGTATGTATATATATATGTGTGTGTATGTAAATATATATATGTACATATATAAATATATATACATATATGTATACATATGTACAATAAATGATGCATGCACATGCCTATACATATGCGCATTTATCCATAACATCTAAACCTGAATAAAATGGTATGCACATGTATGCACCCTGCATCGTCTGCACACATGATCACGACAAGTTTGCCTGCGACGTGCCTTACCTTTGGAAGAAAGTAAGGGCGACCTACAGCGAAACCATACCAGCCTGGACTACATGCTGGACTCTCTGCCACCGGACTCGACTCCTGAACGAATCAGGCTCACATCAGGATGGTGGCAAATGGTGGCAGTGTGCATCAAACATGGATTTGTCTGAAGGTGCCCCCGAACGATGGACATCGATGGACATCGATGATTTGCCCGGCAGTCCTGCCAGCAGGGCCGCTTGGCGGGTGAGGCCTGCCGGAGCGAGGCTGGAGGCCCCATACTTTCCAGATCTTTCCAGAGATGGAGTCACAGCTTCAACAATACTCAGCCATAGGTTGAAGATTTTAATCCGTTAGCTAGGAGGCATCAATGTCAAAATATCGCATTCAATCTCCGTGAGCCCCAAGGTTGGCTCGAAACATGTGGGACCCTTTTGACGGGTTTGCTTTAAACGTGGTTTAACCTAGCTTCCCAGCATGCCTGCACGAAAGGAGGAATCCTTGACACAGAAGCTGGCCCTGTCAGGCGTGAAAGAGTCATGCAAAAAATGTGGACGAGATGGAATGGGCAAGCCAAAACCAAAACCTCCTTGTTCTTCTGTGTCTATTTCCAAATAGTTCGAGACAGAGGGATAGAGATAGCCGGTAGCCGGACACAGCATGCTCGGCGTACATAAACCTTAAACGAAGAGAGTAAGCACATTTTTTTGCCTGCAGCCCCAAGTTACGTAGTGACCCAGCGACATGTCGTGGCCGCCAAGCCTGGACTGCATGGTGGATTCTCAGCCACTGGGCTCGACTCCTGCACAAATCAGGCTCACATCGATGGTGGCAGTGGCAAGTGATGGCAGTGGATGAATGGAACAGTTAACAGGAACCCCTGTAAATCTCACTGGAAAAAACACATGATTTCTTGTCGATGTCTCTTGAACCAACCATAACCAACCCAGTAAGGGTTGCACTGTTGCTCCAAACATCCCCGTTGATTCTCTCTCCGTGCAGTTTATTTTCACAGTCCTGCCAGCAAGGGCGCTTGGCGGGCGAGGCCTGGCAACCCGCAGGATCAGAATGAATAGTGGGCCATGGGTTCAACATTAATGTCAACCCTGGATTAATAAACCCCTAATTAGGCTGTTTTTTATCGGGAAAGTACCAAAAAAAAGTATCAAATCATGACTATTGGGGCAAAACCGCCCTAATTTATAAACCATGGTTTATTCATCAGGGGTTGACATTCCCAGCCAGTCAGACCTGCACGAAAGGAGGAATCCTTGACGCGGCCGGCCCTGGCAGGTGTTGATGGAATGGGAGCCACCATGAGTTGAGGTCACACATACCTAATGAGAAATACATGCCATGTATGTATGCGTATATAATCGTGCATATATATATATATGTATATGTATATGTATATACTTTATATATATATGTATATACTTTATATTACTTTATATATATATATATACGACTCGATGTTATATAGCCGGATAGATCTGATACTGATGGCATGGCATTTTCCGACTGGACATACGCCATACGCATGGGCCCATGGGCCTGGACTGGACTCCTGCCAGCAGGGGCGCTTCACTGGAGAGGCCTCTCCAGGCGCAGGTCAAACATGGGGGAAGAATCCAGTGTTACGTATGGTCTAATGCATATAATATATATATATAATATACACTTACCTATGTATCATACATATATAATATAATGCATACGTATGTATCATACATATATATATATATTTAAAAAAAAAAACCTTACCTATGAATGTATAGTTCCATATGCTGATTAACTGTCTAGTTCTATATTTTATACGTCAATCACAAACACAAAAAAAACAATAGATCGTCTACAATATTCTACAATAGCTATAGATCATCTACAATAGATATACAGTAGATCATCTAAGATCATCTACAATAGACATCTATAGACTACAATAGATATAGATCATCTAAGATCATCTACAATAGACTACAATAGATATAGATCATCTAAGATCATGTACAATAGACTACATTAGATATAGATCATCTAAGATCACCTACAATAGACTACAATAGATATAGATCATCTACAATGGATCAGATAATCTTAAACTAGATGATTAGACTTATGTATCCCACGCCTTGGGTGGCGGAATCCGCGAGGGCATGGCAGCAGGGTTCACTGGCGGCCCTGCACGGGTCCCGGAGCTCGGTTTTTTCCTGTAAACGTTCCCCTATACCAATCCATTGACCATAGCCACACCCCAAAAAGATCCAGAACCTGGTAAAATCCGTAAAATCCTGTAAAGAAAGGGTGGCAACTATACATTTAACCGAATTTTAGGGGTTATATACTAAGGGATCTGGTTGGCGATTTTTC